ATGGAACATCGTAGGCTACCCTGTAGCTTTTCAACGAATAAAGTCCTATGAAAAATCATTGTGTAATAAAATGCCTCCGACGGGATTCGAACCTGCGACCTCTCGCTGAGGCGAACGCCCTCTTGAGGCATAGCATTGTGTAATACAATGTTCCCGACGGGTATTTGGACCTGTTCAACCATGAAGCCTTCGTGGTCTAGTGGTTATGATGCCCATCATGTCCTTATTAAAATACTGTATATGTACCTTTGATGATTTATATTATATATATACTGTATTATTATTATTATTATTATTATTATTATTATTATTATATTATATATATACTATATATATATATATATATATGTAAGTCATTGATCCTTGGAACATAAAATTTTATTGAACAAATACACGTGGAACATGCGTGACACCATACTTTACATTATATTAACTATGATATTTAGTCTAAGTACACAAACGAAATACACAGTTAGGGATTGAACCTCCGACCTCAAGGTTGAGAAGCAGAACCACAACCACTGCGCCAAACCGTTAGGCAACAGAAAAAGTATAATAATCTATTGTACTGTATTTGTGATTATTGCTATAGCCAACTGGTGTTGTATTTGTGGCAAAGACAAGCCAAACCAGTCACTCGTCGCAAATCCTGTTTTGGAGATAATGGCCAAAACATGCTGAAATGTCAAAATTTTGGAAATCTATCTTATTGCACTAAACTAACCTTTATATCTATACATCATGCTATGCTGTTATTTTCCTCATTTTCAATGTTAAAATAACAATTTTTAATGATTTGGTGATGGTTTCTGACTAAGAAATGCCTGAAATCGTAAACTTTAAAGGCTGATTTCTCAAATATTGTTCTTTAAACAGCTGTATGTTTAAACTTGTGTAACTTCATAATGAAGTGTCAGATTTAAATGATTTTTTCACCATTTTATAGCACTCATTTTACTGTTTAACCCTGTATTAATAATTAAAATTGATTCTTCCGACGAGTGACTGGTTTGGCTTGTCTTTGCCACATCTGTCACTCATGCTGAAGAAGACCCGAAGATGAGTTGAAATATTCATGTTCTGAATAAATGTTGCGTTTTCAGTCTACCAAGTCGTTGATGTTTTAATTTATGAATTCATCTCATCATCTAATTCTATTAATTCATTTTCAAGAAATTACCTTCTCATTTACTACAGGGAACCTCAGTGTTTAAAAGCTAAGCTTAATGTGGTGATATATTTTCACATTACATATTAAATAATTTTATTTTTGTCTTACTTTTTGTGGAAATGACAATATCATAATTTACCACAAGTAATTTTATGTTATTGTTATCCTTAATCATCGCCATCATCGTTATTATTATTATTTATATTATTATTATAATTATATTACAATAATATCAAATAATATCCTAGTAATGATCAGTTTGTTGCTGACAATAGAAATATTCAATAGAGGGCGCCATGTTAAATATATTGTGGAAGAAGGCTAGTAAAACTTGTTCATATAGGAGATATTACAGTACCGAAAGTTAATTAATTGCGATATACATAGATATGTGATATTTATATGTGAAAAAAGCAGCAGTTTTATTTTATATTACAATTGCTAAACAAGTTATACGATATTGCTTGCAATAAAATATTTATTGGATTTCTTAATGAAAATTGTTATTTATTCAGAAGAGAGAGAGAGAGAGGAAAGTTGTTGAAACTGCTTTAATCTTGTGAGCTGCTTAGTATTAAATGAATACTTTTTTTTCTTCCAAAGGTACCTAACAAATGTGAGTCTTACAAGTTTAAATGCAGGAGATTTTGCCAATTTTCCCAACTTGAAATCGCTGTAAGTATACTGAAGATTTTTCTTCTTTTACAAATCAATATAAAAGTTACTATTTTAATCTATTCTGTTTTTTTATGTAATTTTTTATGATATTGCTTCTACTTTATGAGGTATTGTGGAAATAAATAATTAAGTACATAAATATATCAAGAGTTTGATGCATTACCAATGATAATTGTGACGTTATAGCCTTCACTAAGAAGCAACATCAGCAGGCATCCCAAGTTGGAAGAATCCACATCTGGAAGATGTGTTTAAATGTGCTTTCTTAACACATCTAATTAAATTTCGCTGCGCATGGTGATAACTAGTGGTACCCTTCTTGCAGTATAAATGTAGAATTATTCGTAAAAATATAATAATGATTTAAACAGGATAAGCCAAGTTTGTAGACCTGTTTTCACCCTTGACTACAATCGTTAAACATAGGCTAAAATAGTTAGTGCAAATTTGTGTCTTAACTATAGAGTACGTGCAGCGCACGAAGAGACACAAACTTCACTCTATGTGTAAACAACATATGCTGTGTTTATTCCAATCGTTTTCACAAACAGACATAATTTCAGGCTAATTAACAGGTTAATTAATGTTAAGAAAAGAAAAATAAATTGAACATTTAAATTGTTCAATGCTTTATCTTTAAACATATTAAAAAATATATTCAAAAATGTTGTTACCTTGATAGTGAAATTTACGAATTTGTGAAGTAGTCTATTACAAACGTATTTTTTTCAAAATGTTGTTTTCGTCGAAATTGAAGTTTGTGTCTCTTCATGAAAATGGTGACGAATTGATAATAAAGTTAAAAATACGCAAATATTATGAATTTGCAAGAGATGGGTTATTTTCCGGAAAATTCTTGCTTGCTTGTAAGAGTGCAGGAAGTCGTCCCGATTTCCGGGAGACTCCTGTGACTTCATTCTCAATAAATTTTAAATCAAGACGCAATACAACAAACCCTTCACCTTTTCTGCAGCAAATTGCATGCCTTTTAAAAAGGTTTAAGATTTTTTATTTTAAAATAAGTCTAAAAATAAAGAAGGTTTGCATGGCGAATGAAGACGGTTAGCGCGTACTAATCGAAACATTGAGAAATTACAATCCAATCGGTTCTTCTCAGAACCAAATAACATCATTTAAGATTTGTGGCATATTCCACATGGTGTACGAAAAGGATGTATAATCAATTATTATTTTTGGCATTGTTTAAAGTGAGTTTAATTTTTAAGAGTCACTAAAGAATTCAATGCTTATGTAACATGTCTAGAGGATAACATTAGTACATGCTGCTACTTGGAGATCAGATTTAACACTGGTCACTAAGCACAAGCTAGGTACTCTAGTGGTTATGACACCAAGCTAGTTAACCAGAGGTTGTGGGTTCAATTCCCACCCGAAGCATGTGCTAAACGTACAGTGAGTATTCTGTACGATAAAACGTCACTCCCAAAAGAAGCCTTATTGCTAAACAGGGAAAAGGATGTCGGGATTCATTACGTTCTTCAACCAACTTTCCAATTTGAATGATTGAAAATGTAATTAATAATCTGATATTCTGTTATGACGAGAATTTAACGAGACTGTCAAGAAGTAAACAAGGTCAGTCTCATTAGCAATAGCTCGCTCCATTTTTCTGCTAAATTTTCAAGCCTTAAGCATGGTCAATTTGCGGTCGCAACAATGTAAGCCTTTACCTTGGCAAGTCTTTGGTAATAAGCCTTTAGCCTGGACAATAATGTGGGTCTATAATGCCCTTAACTTGATCAATCTGTGGTCATTTTCATAGAATCCAAGCCTTCTGCTCTCTGTGCTATTTTTGGATTTTGGTACACTACCTGTTTGTACTCAAAATGAATTAGTATGGTCAAGATTCCAGAAATATGTTGGCACTTCAACCAAAGTAATAAAAGGCCAATCTGTTATTGAAAAAAAAAATCCTATCCTGACTTGGTCGCCTAAATATAACAATAAGAATTGAAATTGTTGAAAGTAATAACATCATATTTATATTAAATTTTTATGTTAATAACATTCACATGAATTACTAACAGTATATTTAATATCTCATGTATTGGTAATGTATTATCAATGTTAATAAAAGAAAAATAATTTTTATAATTGGCTTAAACAAAACTATAAATATGGCAATTTTGTATATTTTATTAAAATATTAATAGACCAATTATTGATGGCAAATTCATCTTCATACTCTTATTATTATTATTTAAATTCATGATACTTGACTATTGAAAAAAAAAAGAATTATGTAGTATATGATTTTTTTGCATATTTATTTAAGTTTTTCTTACTAATTAACATAAATAATTATGTTTCTGCATACTTTAGATGCTTAAAATGGCTGACAGTGAATTTAAGGAGTTTTGTAGTTAAGATATCTATATCAGCAAATATTGAATGTTTTAATCAGTTTCTCATGTAAAGTTCTTAAATTATTTGCTACTTTTTATAGGCAAGAGCAATTGTAATTGAGCATTTGAGTTTTTGCAGATTTTGCCATGTAAAATATACCTATACAAAGTGGTTACTATTTTTGCTAAATTTGCAATGAAATTCTGCCCGATTCAATGTACGACACAATTAAAATGAAACAGCCCGAGAACGCTCATCTGTTTGAAACCTGAGGTTATAGAAAGTTGTTACCAAAGGGCTGGTGCTCCTTCATGCTATGGATCCATCATAATCAGACCTGACATACATAATGATACTAGGGAACACTGACCTGTTACCTCCTTATAGGTGAACTGGTCAAATCTCACAAGTATTACTTTCCCATACAGTATGTAACCCTTTGCTGTGTCATTTTTTTACCTTAATTTTTCAAATTAAATCAATTAATTCAAATCAGCTTAGTGGGGTTATCAGAAGGGTCAAAAGTCAAAGGCTATTAATTTTGGAGAACCAATACTTTCTAACAGATGCTATCTTTAGAATTACTGTATATTTATGTTACATTTTATTATTTCCAGGGCACTGTACAAATCACCTAAGCTTGAAAGCATCAGAGAAAATACTTTTCGTCAACTTAAATATTTAAACTTACTGTAAGTAACAAGATTTTAAAAATTTATCCAACATTCTCTACCCATAGTGATTCAGAATTAGTCAAAAATAAGGGGGTGGGGAAGGGGGATCGATGAGGGCCAGGGAAGCTCAATGAGGGCCAGAGGGAGCTCAATGAGGGCCAAGAGGACCTCAATGAGGCCAGGGAATCTCAACGAGGGTCAGGTAGAGCTCAATGAGGGCAAGGGGAAGCTCAATGAGGGCCAGGGGGAAGCTCAATGAGGGCCAGGGGGAATGAGGAAAACTTCCCAATGTGCTTCTTGATTATTTTTAATTAGTATTTAAACCAAATTTTCTTTGAAATCATCATTTGAAAATATTTCTCTTGATAGACAAATTGATATTGCCCCCAAGTTGAAAACTATAGAAGATGGTGCATTTGGCAACTTGCCAGAATTTAAACATATGTAAGTATATTGATATATTATTATTGTTTTTTTGAAAATTTTAATGTTTCCATAAATTTGAATAATAGCTTGTAGCGATTATAATATCGTAAATTTTATTGTACCTTGTTTTATGTTCCAGGGGCTACGGGCAGCACTTGTGGTGTTATGACGCAGCCCCTGGACCATTTGTGCCAATAAAATAAATGTAATATTACTGCATTCCAAATTTCCACTGTATTTCAACTAATATTTCAGAATTTATTTTGTTTTTGTGCCAAAGAACTTTGTTTAAGAAAAACTAAATTCTAATAGCAAAACTTTTTTATTCCCTATATGATAACCTATTTTTTTTACTATGGGAATTATTTATTTATTTTATTGGAAATAGGGCACTTGTCACCAAAGTTCTGGCAAGAAACCAGGAATGTATTTTCACAATGTACTTGGGAATACATTCTAAATAAATTTAAATCATGTCAATGTATTCTTCAGACAGATTATTAAATGTTCTTTAACAAAAAACTGCTGTACGCCATAGTCATAATGTGCCTATATATGGTGATGATGTGATGTCATCATGACCATATTTAGGTATGTCTCATGTTTTTGTCAAAGAAAATTTGATAGTTTGGACAGGGCTTTAAAGACGGTATTATTTTCGTGGCATTATTTATTTAATTTTAATTTTCTGGGTATCAACTTAAATAAAATTGGATGATGCCCACCTGTTCCAATTGTAGAGATAACTAGGTTGTTTTAGATTCTTAATATTTTTGTGGGAAATTCATGGGAATTCATAGAGAAGCATTTATTTGTCCTGCAGCCAGTTAGATACAGTGCTACTTGCCTACATAATTCAACAAGTTTGTTTCCAAACATAACTATGACCCATTTTTTTTAAATAACTAAAATAAATGCAACAATTATTTAAAGAAAATTTCAAAATCTTATAAATATCAATATATCTATTATGAGACTTGATTCATGTTTATTGAATCATAGTTTATGAATTATTAATTTAATTTTATGATTAAATTATACACACTACATCTTTAAATATGATAGTATTAGGTAGACTAAACATTACAGAAACTTGAATGAAAGAATCACATTTCGTTCACTAGTGAATTTCTTCATTTAATTTCATTTTATTCGAAATTCATGTACCATAATATATAATTTAAAGGATGAAAATACACAAAAAAATAACACAAAGGTCACCTGATTTTTAAGTTAACATTTGATAGTCTTTACTTTATCTTTATTGCTAAATATTTTAGACTAACATGGCTAACAAATTACCTCTATTTCATCACTACATATAAAGAATTATTTATAACAGGACTAGTAGCAAACTACTTAAGGATTTTTTGTTTAGCATATTTATTTTAACTTGAACAAGATGTTTAACTCCTTTCTAGCCGGACCATGTGATTTTTTTCCCTAATAGATTGGACTAAATTTAGTCCAAACGAGTCGTCAAATGATATGACTCAAATCTGGTAAACTATAGACCATGACTGGAAATAAAGATTTTTTATTAATGTTTTCTAAAATTACAGCATGTGTTTAGTGAACGTGTTATAACTCATGTAATCTACTTGTACGCTCCCTGACAGGCTGCATTGTCTGTTTTTTGACGTACTTGAGAATACCAAGCCAGTTGTGACTTGGAATTTTCAACTTGTTACCTGCAGGGCTAAATACTAACTATTAACCTATTTATGGTTTTATTTTGTGCAATTTTCTTCTCAACATCTCTGTAAAAACAAAAAATTTGTAGCTAGCCTGTGGACAGGTGGTTATATTAGGTATTACAAACTAGAATGCTAAAGTCATTTTGCCCTCAATTCAGTAGTCTCAAGTGATTGAATGCATCTGTCTATCTTTGCCTCCATTTGACCCCTGACCTGATTTATTTCTCTGGGGTTGATGTGGATTATAGCTATTTATAGAATATTTTAGGTCACTATTTTAAAACATTATAAGATTTTATTGGGGGAAATCAAAGAATTATTATAGTATGGGAAAAATGTTTTAAATCCTGTTTCATTTATTGTAAACATATTATTTATTGAAATTATTGCCATTTTATAATGTTTGCAATATAAATATTATATCTTATTTTTTAAATAATAATATTATATACTGTTTTCATTAAAATTTAGTTTATTGAAGTGCAATAATATTTACTTATCATAGAATAAGGGTCCTATATTAAATTGTATTAAAATAGTTAAATTTTGATATAGTATTTACTATATTTACAGTTAAATAAATACTCCAGTAATATACTAATTGATACACAGTTAATTATTAAATTGATTGTGGTTATATTTTGTTTTGCAGGACAATAGGAAGGACAGGCATTACTACTGTTCCAAACTTGACCATGATTGAGCCGAAGGCCGGACTCCTGCAGAGGGTGTAAGTTAAAAAGTTGAATGAATCAACTGACGAAAAACGAACAATTAATCAGCAGGCTAAATAGATAAGGAGGAAGTTACATGATTAAAGACTTAATTACCCTAATATATAATAACTATATTTGACAAATATGATTTTTTATACAATTAATTATAAGAATAAAGTCATGATAATAATGATGGGGAGGGGGATAAGCCCATCCACCGGACAAGTCAAGCCCCCCGCCGGACAGAGCTCGTCGGGCAGTCAGACAATAAAACATATTAAAATAGGCCCACACCAAGCCAACACATCTGTCACAGTCCAAGAGTGCCATTTTCGGCCATCCAGAGGTTGATATTCTTTAAAAAAATCTCATTTGAGAGGGGGAACTCCCTCTTAACCCCTTCCTCCAGCTCGAGCCTACGAGCTCAAGTCCCCCCATCGGACAACTTAGCCCCCCCAAGAAAATATATCCCAGAGCCGCAATTGACCCTAAACTTGGTCCCAAAAATGGCCTCATATTGTGAGGGGAACTGTATCAAATTTTTAAGAGATATGTTCATTATAATATCAACCTATCAGATTCATTATGATCTATAGTTTTTTTTTAGATATATGTGCCACTGTTACATGTAATGATAATATTATGTTCTGTGATAATCATAAATATTCCTACTGTACATTTATGTTTTTCCTTTGTAGGTCTTTAACTCACAATAAGATTGAACATCTGTATGAGTCAATGTTCTATGGAATGAACTTTTTGATATATAAGTTGTAAGTATGTTTTTAAGTGTTCTTTACCAGTTTGTATATTTCATGTCAAAAGTCTCATCAACTCAGACTTGAACTTCTTTAACAAATTGTATGGATCACCTGGGGTGGATGTAGGATTTGGCAGTAGGGGCTGCGTGTGTGTCCACACCACCTGAGTCCTCAGTCCACCATGGTTCGGGCTGGCTAAGGGCTGAAAATTGTTAGAATATCGACCTCTCAGGTGCGCATCCAGAGTTTACCCTAGTAAGGATAAAGGTTCGAAACCTGAAGCAGGCCGGAGTGCCCGTCTCTCTTTCTTTAGCATTTGGTCCAGACTGTGCAAGGCTGTGGGGGGTTCACCACTCCTCCCGCACTGCAGTCTGTTTTACCTTCCCAGCATATGCCAGTGCCCATTTGTACACCTGGGTGGAGAGACACAAACGTAGGTAAAGTGTATTGCCTAAGGACACAAACGACAGCACAGCGAGGGTTTTCGAACCCCTGACCTCAAGGTTGAGAGTCCGAGCCACAAGCATTGCGCCAACCACTTCTACCACTTACCGTGACTATTGCACAGATGGGGTTGCAGAGTAGGTGGGGCCATGAGAAGAGAAAGTATTTTTTACTTGTTCAGTTTCTGGACGACAAATTTTAGTCATGGGGTGGGCAGGCGGGTGAGGGAGTCTTGCAGTCCTCCTGCGGAAACTAATGTTTTTTCCAGATGCTTAGAAATGCACTTTCATGCATTATGAGATGTCTATTAATGAATGAATATTACACTCTGAATTCATACTTTCCCCACTTCACTATGGACAATTAATAATTATGAAGATGATGATGATAAGGAGGAGGGGGTGGAAGCACCATAGCTAGGTAATAACAAGCTCCTGTGCAAGATTAATTAACAGGCCCTTTGATATGAAGTGCCAACAGAGCCCCGTAGCCAGAGTTCGTCGTCACAATTTCAACGCACATAATTGGACAACAGTATCTGTCTACAATTTATATGATCAGTACATTCTCGACTGACATGAAAATATCATATTATATCCAAAATTTATGTTACATGCATGCACAGAGTGGAAGGTTTAACCTTGATATATGTTTCATATTGTTTGTTGAATGGTTTTTAATATTACATTCTAATATGAACACAACATAAGGAAGAACACTTTGTCACCTTAAAAGTTCAGACCCATAAAAATTTATATTTCCTTAGACCTAAATCATAAGGAAGTCCGCTCTTCAAATGTTTAGCATAGATGGGTACAGAATTTTAGGAAATTAACGTGGGAATTTTGTTGTTTTATGTTGTTTGTTGAATGGTAATAATATTACAGTTACAGTCTAATATGACCACAACATAAGAAAGTCCATTCTTTATTTGTTTAATAGCATAGTACAGAGAATTCTGATTGTTTATCAGTATCATTATACACATGTATAGTTAGATAAAATTTCCAAAAAAAAAATTACATTTTCAGTGCATGTGCCAACATGGAAAGATTAACCTAATAATCTTAGTTAATAATATGGTTCTACAATTCATCTTATGACCACAACTTTTAAGTTGTAACTTCTTCTTAAAAAGGAAAAATAATAATGCAGTTCTTTCCATACTTGGTATTATTGTACCTCCACCAGCTGGGAAATTAATTAAATATGTATAATTGTCTTCTGTGATTGGTTGATTGCCCAATTCTCAATGCTTAGTGGATATAATGCTTTAGTGGACAGATATAATGCGTAACTCTCAAAGTATTTTCATATTTCTAAAAGGAGTATATGATCACTTCCTATGATAGATTACATCCTCAGGGTGCCCTAAGCCAAAATCTCAAAAAAATGAATATATTGCATTTTTCCGAATCACGACAGACTGAGTAGATTACTGGTTTAAATGTAAAAATTTAGGATTTTATTTTTAAATCACAGAAAATAACAAATTCATATTCAACTGTCTTGGAAATGTAAACATTCTGGATATATGGTCCTGTAAAAACTTAGCATTTTACTTGCCAATTAATATAGTATTATATGCTAATTAATTAGATATCTTCTCAATTTTTAAATATTTTTCTTTAATTCTTTTTCCACTTCCAAAGCTGTTTGATTTTAAATTCACATACCATTCATGTCGTTGCTCTTCTTCTGACCCCGTATTCATTTTCAGTCTCTCAGTCCTCGGTGGTAATTTTTTCTTTCTTTTTAGATATATCAAATTGTGTTCATAAGTTTTAAGCTCTAGGTTAATTAGGCTACCCACTCCATTAAAGACCTGTTGTTTTTTTTATAGCATTCATTAAAACAATGAAATAATAATTTATTAATTAAAAAGTAATAAATAAAATAATAGGTTTTCAATTTAGTGTAATTTTGGAATAACAAAATATAATAAAATTATATATGCCTTTTAATAAGGTTAAAGAATCAACATATATGTATATCCTCCCTGTGATTGATTTTTCATTAACTATTTATGTGACAAAATAATAATAATAAAAAAAAAACTCAACAGTGTATGTTATCACTGTACATTGTGCAGCCGATTTAATTACAGTCCCTTTTTGATTAATACTTTAAGACAATGCAAAACGTATTGCATTTATTTTGTCTATATTTTTGCCTTTGGGTGAGGTAGGTGGCATTTCTGACAAAAATGGAAATCGCCAGACCACCAGGCACTGCTATCACTTTATATTTAAAAAGAATATATATTTATATCAACATTTATCATTCTGTCCCAAATCAGCTGATTGGGGCCTTAGAGCAGCAGATGGTACATGTTAAAAAAAAAACCATCATAGTATGCCCTTAGTCGTCAAGAAGGCTGAGACAGGGGCTTGCCCCATACTCAGCTCTCTACTTGGACCAAGACCCTAGGGTAAGAAACCCGTAGAAGCCTTAGCTAGTGCTTCAGGCCTCTTTGTTGCACGACTGACTGTGCTATGAAATAAGGGGTGAATTGATTTTGTTGCATCAAAGATTGCTTAAATTGATGATAATTGTGTTAGATGGATTGATACTCAGGATGAGTAGTACAAAAATTATTGTCACAAAGGGTGCTTAATGTTAATGTCACAATTAACAGCTTTCATCAACTGCTTCTGACTTTACATAAACATTCTTTTATAAATTTATTGCTTGTGTGTGTTACGTTCCCTCTCTCTTTTTAATTCTAATTTTCATCTTACATCTGATAGGTTGACCTACCAGGAATAAATTAATAATGACAATAAGAATGTGCCAATGCCAATAATATTCATAAAAGTATGTGTTCATTAATGACCACTAATGCCTAATACTGAAATATTAGTTTAATTGGTTAAGTGGACTGATGGAAGAAAGTATTATTTGGCAGGTAATTAATTAATGGATTAATGATTAGCAACTTGAAGGTTAGTGATAAGTGAACAATGTTGAATATGTTTCCAAGGATGTTGCTAACGTGGCAGATAGGGATTAATGGTGCTGGCATATTTAGAAGGTGTGTGGGGATGCATTCCCACCCAAAATACTTGCGCACTCCAGTCACCCCTAGCCGCCCCCAACCCTTGAAAATGTTCATAGCAAAAATCAAGCTCTAGTAGTTAAAAATCACCTTACTTTGGACGCTAGTGCCACCTTGCCTATTCATCGAGATCACACTTCAACTTGATGTCCCCTTCAGCCTAGCCTGTAAAACATGGCTTTTTTTCAAGAATTATCTTTTTTATCAATTTTGATTTTTTTTTTTCAGAGAATTAGAACACAACCAAATCACTCGAATTCCTGCCTACACCTTTGAAGGGCTCACTGTCAAAGATCTGTAAGTAGACATAGATTTGTACAAAATACAGTGAGACGAAAAAGGAGAAGACAAACTTTAAATTAATATAAGTGGAATGAGAATAATTTATGGAATTAAACTATACTTTACAACAATAATAATAGTAATAATAATAGTAATAATAATAATAATAATATTAATAAAATATTAAAGAGGGGGAAGATAGTGATAATGAATATAAAGATGGTGAGGATGATGAATATAATGTAGATGATGATGCTGAAGGTGAGATGATGATGATAATGATGGTGGCGACAATAATAATGTAAAGATGGTAGTGAGGATGATGATGATGATAATTATGATGCTGATGATAATGAAGATAAAATGAGGAGGATGAAGGTAATGAAGATGATGATAATTGTGAAGATGATAATGATAAAGGTGATGATTACTTACTTGATTATGATGAAGGTGGTGGTGATGATAATGATGATGATGATGATAATGAAGATAGTAAAGGTGATTATGATGATAATAATAATGTTACTGCACTAAATGGCTCTATACACTTCGCATTTAAAAGGATAACGTTGGGCTTATTTGACTGGTTCACTTTGTTGACTATGATTTTTCGTTGAGTATTATTTTCATTTGACTGGTTCGTAAAATAGATGTCGTTGACAACGAAAATTAGCGTAAACCAGAGTGCGTTGATCAGCGTTAAGTTATCCATGTGACGAAAACAAACATGGCTGATTGGTCAGTTTAGCATCTATATTTGTGTTAATATAATTTAGATTAAATTTCAGAAAATAAAAATTATAATATTTACCCACATGAAGCCAAATAATAATTGTAGGCTATAAGAATTCAAAAACTGGATGAAAAATTTTTTTTTACAAAAAACCTATACTGCCACAAACCGAAGCAACCTTGATTATGCAGCGTGTATCGCGGTAACTACGCAGCCATTTTGTTTCGTTGAGTATTTAACAGTTTTCTATTCGACTGATCGTCTTCGTTAAGTGGTATTGTACCACTGCACAGGTGGGCGTGGTTTAACGAAGAATGACTGAGTCGAATACGGCCATTAATACTGTAACTTACTAATAATGATATTCTCATCCTTTCTTTTTGAACATTACACATTTTGTTGTTTATTCGCAGGGATCTTTCAAATAATCCCATTGAGGGGCTGGTTGAGGATTCATTTGCTGGCATTGATGAGGACGAACTTGATCTTATGTACGTTATTATGTGTAATTTATAAATTCTTAAAAGGACTTATTTATTTTATTTTCAAACTTCCAACAAAGAAACAACAAAAAGGTTGAACAGGGGTGCCGAGGAAAAGCAAAAGTTAAACAAATTTGTCAATAAGTAATGTGCTTAATGAAAGCCCCTGCCAAGAAAGACAATACAATACTGTTCAAATACATCGATAAAAAACAAATAAATACAAGCACAGATCGTCATACTAAGAAAATTAAACCAATCTCTGACCAGTAAATGGTGCCACAGTAGTGGTACATTGCTTTCAGGGCCCTGCAGTACAACACGTTAAAATTCATGGAAGAAAATAAAATGACTGAATAATTGGTTAAAGTTAAGATTCTGTAGTTGTGGTAGGCTTAATGTTAGACTTGCTGGATAATTCGGATAGTGTCATCAGCATCTGTTTTTGTTATGTTGTTGCCAAAAGTCTTTAATTCATTGACTTTCCGTAGTGCTGGATAATTTCGGAGAGCACTACCTGTGTCTGTTTTTGTTAAGTTGTTGAATTTGGATGAAAAAGTATAGTATAGAATGCCTTGGGTGCCAAAATTGATTTAATTTTAACAGTTTTCACTGACTAAGACAAAATTTAGGGAACTGGAACCCAGTCTACTGTAGCTTAATGTATGCTCATATATTGAAAGATTATGTTTTTATTTGTTTCTGTACAGTAATCTGAGTAACACCAAAATTGAAATGCTGCCAACCAAGGGATTGAAGAAAATAAAGTCATTGAACATTGAAGACACACCTAGACTAATGCAGTTCCCATCCGTCTTTGTATTTGAGGAGATAGAAAATGCTCAACTGCACTACTTTAGCCATTGTTGTGCATTTACTTACGAAACAGAAAGGAATGCCCCAGACAGCTCAAAGTATAACAAAACAGACGAGGTCAAAGGTTGCACTACCACCGCTGAACCACCATATTGGCCAACAACAAATAATGAAAGGACGAGAGCGAAGACTTCACCATGGATACGCGGTACCACTACTATGGAACCATTTGATCCATTAAATCATTTTGACCCATCGGGTCGTATCAGTTCAGACGCAGTACCGCTGGTTCAAACTGGACACGGTGTGGTGATGCGCCGTAGATCCATTGGAAGTTCCACACACATACCTGTGAATTTTCCTTCGGATCCTATAGACGGTGACCGTTCAGCATCCCACGCTCTGTCTTCACTTGTTTTTTCATCGAATGACTCTATCGTAGGTCAACCTAACAGTCTCTCAGGTTCCTCGGGTTCCTTAGGTTTTGATATTACACCTATCAATCCAAATACGACACACAACCATATCGGGAGCAAATGCAATGAATTAGCTAAAAAAAACTACAGTCTAGTAACGTGCACTCCAGTGCCTAATGCATTCAACCCCTGTTCTGATGTCATGGGGTACATTTTTCTTCGTGTACTTGTGTGGGGCGTTGCATTGACTGCCCTCATCGGTAACTTAGTAGTTGTCATGGTGCTCCTGTCAAATAGGAATAAGATGTCAGTACCAAAGTTTCTAATGACAAATTTGGCATTTGCTGATTTTTGTATGGGGTTGTATCTACTGATGATAGCCTCTGTGGACGCCCACACTATTGGGGAATACTACAACTATGCTATTAATTGGCAATTTGGTGCTGGTTGTCGAATTGCCGGCTTCTTCTCACTCTTTTCCAGTGAGCTGTCTGTATTCACCCTCTCGGTTATGACCATAGAGAGATGGTACACAATAATATATGCCATCAACCTTAACAAACGCATTCGATTGCATCATGCAAGTCGTATCATGATTGCCGGCTGGCTGTTTGCCATTCTCATGGCATCATTTCCATTATTTGGGGTCAGTAGTTACGGAACAACCAGTATCTGCTTGCCATATGACAACGGCACCATTCCGAGCATAGTGTACTTGACTCTTCTTCTTACAATGAACGGCATTGCGTTTGTGCTCATATGCGTGTGTTACATCATGATGTACATGACGGTACATAGTCCAAATACGATAACCCACCGTAAAGATATGAAAGTTGCCAAGCGCATGGCTGTCCTCGTTTTCACAGACTTTGCCTGCTGGGCTCCAATTGCTTTCTTTGGAATGACCGCTTTATTTGGTAAACCTCTTCTCACAACAGATGAATCTAAGATCCTCATTGTTCTTTTCTATCCGATTAATTCTTGCGCCAATCCATTTCTGTATGCCATCTTCACAAAGACGTTTCGCCGAGACTGTATCCTCCTTCTTGCCCGCCATGGTCTCTGCGAAAGAAAAGCTCTCAAATACAAAGCAACAATCAGCGGGTTTCGATCAATGTCACAGTCAGCGACAATGCGTGAGCAGTTTGGTAAACAGTGGCATCGTGATTCGGCTGGATCAGTTCTTACTCAACATACCAGCACAAATGACAACAGACCATCTGTTGCATTCTCTGAGCGTGATTTTGCGCTTGACAGCCCAAAACCAACTCCACGCGCCACTCCTGTTACCTCCCCTGTTGTACCCGTAAAAGAATTTACAGAGGCCAATAAACCTGCAAAATCAAATTTATACAGTAAACACTCGGAAGTATCTCGCAAACTGAGTTCTGTGCCAGAGAAGGCGGTAGATGATAAGAATTCACCTGACACAGACAAGAATTCTCAAGGAAGAGATTGTCGACCGAATGGTATTATTGAAAATGTAAAACTGAAATCAGATGAAAGATCGGAAGACATTCAATCAAATGTTAATAACAACTACGAGAATGTTGAAGTTGAAACTCATCGAGAGAATGAACATATGTATGATGAAATTAAAGAGGACGACATTGAAGAGGCTCCAGGAGCCACTGAAGTACCAAAGATTATGGTGGTATGCAATATCGAGGACCGGGAGACAGTCTTGTAAACTAATTGAAGAGATGGTCTTTCTATGAAGTCATGACAGTCTAAACCAAAACATTATGAAATTCTATTAACGACTTTGGTGGATGTTCAAAATTAATAAACACCTTCTAAATAGAGGAATTTATAATGGTTTTTAAAAGTAAATTTTCAGGGGAATTGAAAACATGCTGTTTCTTGTTTGATTAACCAAAATAAGCATTATTTGTTTTGTGCAGATGACTTTAGAGACAAAGAAACCATGTAAGTGTAAGAGGGCAGTGTATATAATTTGTGAAAATAATTTCCAAAGAAAGTTTTAAGTGCCCGACGAACACATGCCTGTTAGTAGGATGTATCTGTTTAAGACGTAGCAGTGGTAAATTAATTTGAATGTAAAATCTTCGTTGAGACTTATGCCAGGGACTCACTGCGTTGGGGGTAATACGCCCCTCGCACGGCGATCTAACTCCGCTCCCTGTGAGCGATAGACGACCCAACGCCGTCTGCTGATTATCAGTAGCGGTCTGAACAGATTAAAAATGAACCATTGCGTTCACGTTGTCGTAGAATCGTGTCGGCCAACGACCGTCGTGTGGAGTGAGTGCCCGGCTTTACTGCGGATGAATGACTTAATGGCATTGTTTTTTCTTTGTGGAAGTGTGTGGTGCAGCGGTACAGCTGTGGTCTTCCAACAAAAACTTGTGGAGTGTGAATCTCTGCTGGTTGTCTACTGCAGCATGGCCAGGAATACAAAATCAATTCAATTAAATGTCGGTGCTTCAGCGATGGGATACAATCAGCAATACGGCATACATACAACAAATTATGCACGACTTACAATATAGAAAGATACTGTACATATTGGTCGAAAATGTGAGAATTGCTAAGAATGTTGTCTTGCGGGTTAGTCATTTGAATAATACAGTTATATTTGCATATCCCTGGCCATGTTTTGATTGGTCAGTTGTTAAGCTTGATTGACCTGGAAAGGTCAAATAGGCCTTATGCACAGTTTGCCTAATGAAATTCTTACTGCAAAATATCATTTTCGTATGCGAGTTAAATATGTGGTTTCAGGTTTGCCATACACTGAACATATCACAATGTTTAGTCTCTACCACATAGTGTTTTAGTAATAATTTGCATAAATCAAAGGCCCAGTAAAATTTCCTTATAAGGAATTACAATACTTGAAAATATGTTGAAAAACCAAATACTGTATAATAAATTGTATATTATGAACAAAGTTAAGATCTTTGATGGCTTAAGGTATCTTAATCAGTTGTTGTAAACATGTCATTAAAATTGGTCATTAAGATGTTTAATAAGCAGCAATATAGTGACAAAAAAATATTCCTTTTATAACAAGTTTTTATTCATGAAGTGATGCAGATTTTCATTGAATTGTTTAAACAATTATTGTGTACATTTTAAGAAATTTAAAGAGACATAAGTGGAATTACCAATCCAATATGTGAACTTTCAATAAATTTAGTATAAATAATTTTTAAGCTGTGCTGAATTTGTTTACAATTTCCTTGAAAGTTCCAATGTAGCACCATACTTCGGGGGTTGAGGAATAATTGAATCAATTGGTGGATTCCTTGATATATAACTAAATTGTCATTCGTCCTTAAAACACATTTTCAAAGCATAAAAATCTGGTGTTTTTATTACAGTACAGTATTATCGTTTCTAAAACTAAGAAACCATCTTTGTGCCAGTTATGTAAAAAACAAACATCACTTATGTCTGTATACTTTGCATGCCTATATATATAAACACTAGTGATCATTTGGTATGTAAAAATTAGAGGATAGGTTTGTAATATACCATAGATGATACATGTCAGTTTCAAACATTCCTCCCATCCTAAAATAAAATGTGCTAGATTTATATCGAGATTTATTAAAGAATCGTGAGAAGGTTTAATAGTAGATTTGATATATCTATTTGAAATTGTGTTTATAAAAAGTGAAACAAAAATCAATTTCAAGTTGATGGCTAAATAATAATCATCTACTTTTAACCAATAACAGTGTAACTAAATCGTAAATAAGCGTTGAAGTTTCACATAAATCTGGAGTTGTCGATACTTATTAGAGGGTTTATAATGCATGCATATAAGTTATTGCTTCATTGTACTTAGGATCAAATCAGAGGTGGTCAGAAATTTTCCGACAGGGGTCCGAGCCAGGGGGCCTGAGCCAGGGGGTCAAATAGGGCCTCAGTCTGGGTCGCGGAATATGTGGGGAGTTTTTATGGCTTAGTATGGGCCAAAATTGTGCTCTTATACGAAAATGTTAAGAATTGACATTAAAAATAATTTTTTTTTTATGGGTTCGATGACCTTGATGTGACGTCGGACAACAGGGGTCCAGTCATGTCCGACGGGTTAATTCTCCCTCCTGGTGCCACCACTAGGTTAAATTTGGAGAATAATGTACAAATGCGTTGAATTTGTAATGGATCTGCCCACTTTGATTTTGAAAAGGAGATTAATATTCATCATTAATGTACTGTACATATTAACATATGGTGGTTAATATTACCATATTCTTTACTATATTACTAATGGTAATAAATATGTTTATTGTACAAAAGAATGTTTAGTCTCTATTGAACAACAACATTTATATATTGGACACAACCAACCTTGCTTTTATGAAATGTACAGTAAAGTATCATGATTTATATAATACTATTTTAATGAGAGAAGTCATGTAATTGGCGATAAGATGTTATATAATCAATTGATTGTATAAAGGGCTATTTTGAAAATTGACAAAATTTATTTAAATAGCTGTTATTTTTGCAAGACTATCCCACCAAATGTTATGTATATAAAATTCATATATCTATATAAAAATATATCTATATATATATAAATATATGCCATCAATCAGCATTGCTCATGGTGTAATTGCTTGTATTTAAATCATTAAATAAAGATGTTTGTATAAAAAAGCTGCAAGTGATGTTACATATGGTAGATAGATGTTTTTGTAACTTTGTCATAAAGTATTGTCATTTTGTATTGTGTTCTTATAAAGTTTAAATGCAGGGGTGGATTTAGAGAAGGGCGGGGGCCAGCAACAGCCCCCACCCCCCTTTTGGAAATAACAAAAAATTTGCTGGGAGCATGCCCCAGATCCGCGATGTTAATGTTGTCTCAATCAGCCCAACTTTTGGACGTCTCTGTATCCGCCCCTGATGTGTATGTTTGTTGAGCCTACACTTACAGTGGTGCTAACAGGTATGTGCTTGTTTCCCCCTAGTAATATGGGTTGCATATGGTTCTCAATTTTATCTTCTATGAAAGTTAATTTTTCTCCTACCCTGTTAAATAATACACACCTCCCTAGTGTAGGGGTTTAGTTATTGTTCCATATTAACACTACACACAGTTCCAATGCAGGGGTTACATTATTATATAGGACCCCTTCATTCTTTATCACAATTATATTTGTGCATTTTTTATTACATAATTAATTTCTATGTAATTTGGATGAAACATTTTGTTTGAAAACAAAAATAATTATGAATAAACATATTTACATGTGAAATTATTGCATTGGTCTTGTACTTCATTGACAGACGGTTAATTTTAGCCCACATTTGCAAATTAATATGCTAGTTATAGGTGTTGCTTGTTGATAAAAATCAATTAAAAATTCAAATGGATGATGGATAGGAAACTACAGATGATGGTGACGTGCGTACAAGTGTGTCTTGTGGGAAAACAGAAGACTTAACACCCTAACACAGACAGACCAATCCCCCAGGCCACAAGTCATACCAAACATTTTTTTAAATTCCTGTTTAATTCTTAGGTTGTTAAACTTTTTGGAACGGCTGCCAAATTGGATCCGACACGAGATTGTCATGCCTAGACTATACCTAAGTGGCTGCACTGCCCTCTGAACATTAACAGACACTGTCAGAGAGCACTGCCACTGTAAGGTTTAATATGAACATTTGAATGTACACAACAGTGTTATACATAACTAAACAGTGATAAAACATGAAGTAATCTTGTAATAGTTTTTCTTTATTGAGTGAGACAGTAGCCACAGACAGAATAAAATAATACAGAAAGAATGTTTATATCCCATTACAATGTAAACACATTTGTATCAATATTTCCTGAATTGATCAATATAAAAAAAAAGTATAACAGATGTCTAGAAATGGCACTCGGACAGTAGAAATACTTTTTCAAGCAGTGTTCCCAGACGAAATTATGACATTTGACATAAGATATCCATAAGTTACATAATTGCAGTGGCGGCATTTCCGCATAAAGGCTCCACACCTAACTCAGGCCCAACATGGCTGGGAATGGGGTGGGGTCTAATGTTATCAGACAGGGGTATTATAGGGTTCCATGACATGGGTCCTGTTCCCCTGGGCACCCAAAGGTCTGTAGGCAATGCATACTTGACTAGTACCAACATGTGTGAATAATTTATGTTATTGATGGGCTAAAAAATAATATACACTTCCAAAAAAAAAAAAAAAAAAAAAAAAAAAAAATAACTGCAGTGAACTATTTCATATTAAGGGCCATTCATAATTATCAACATTTTCAAGAGAAAAAATATTATGCTTTTGGAGGGAAGGCGGGAGGTTGGGAGTATAGACGTAAGTACTCTTTTATAATAATAAAGACAAATGTGGCAAAGACAAGCCAAACCCGTCACAAAAATAGATTTTGAGTTATTAATACAGTGTTAGAGAGTAAAATAATAGCTATAAAATGGTAAAAAAATCATTCAAATCGGACATTTCCTTATGAAGTTACAAGCATTTAACCACACAGCTGTTTAAAGAACAATATATGAGAAATTAGCCGTCAAAGTTTATGATTTCAGGCATTTCTCATGCAGAAACTATCTTTAAATCTTAAAAAGTATTGTTTTAACATTGAAAATGGGGAAAATAACAGAACAGAATGATGTGTAGATATATAAAGGTTAGTTTAGTGCAATAAAATAGATTTTTTTTAATTTGACATTCCAGCATGTTTTGGCCATTTTCTCTGAAACACGATTTGCGACGAGCGACTGGTTTGGCTTGTCTTTGCCACAAATGATGATCTCAAAATCATACAAATCAACATTTTATTGTGTACTCTTTCAAAAAAGAGTATGTCTTTGTATTCTTATGAAAGAATGAAAATTATGGATGACCCCTTAATCAACTACAGGTATTACGAAACAAATGTTAGAATTTTTTCTCACTATTTTCTTGTTGATAGTTGAGTACTGAGCAGTTACTCAACACAACAGTCCTATTGAGTGATATTTAGTGGAATATTTTCTGACAAGGATTTACGGTACCATAAAATATCACTGAAACCACCGCAGGTAATGACGATGAGCTTTCAAAATGTTTAGAAATAGATAATTCTTTATTGATACACATAGAGTATATTATTTACCTCTGTCTAAAACAGTGAGTGATGTTTTATAAATCAGGGGCCAATGGGGGGGGGGAGAGGGAGATAAACAACCTTTAAACTTTCTCGCCTCTAAAATTGTATTAACATGTATGTATGTTTTTTATGACTGAAATAATAGCTTCGAAAGTCAGACTAAAATTAAATCACATCCAAGTCATGATTGGGCCATTCTCCCATGGTGGTATGAATTCAAACCACCTGAAATTGTTGGTACTGTATTCTTTTCCCCTAACAAAAAGATCCTGGATCAGCCCTTATAAATCATAATTTTAATTGTGTAATCCAATAATTGACTTAATTTATACAGTATTTTCTATAGATGGGTGTTCTGCAATAAAATTTGCTTTTATTAATTATATGTTATTATTCCAACAGTGATTAGATCCTTATAATTGCAGGGTGTGTTGCTTGTGTATATCACTGTCTATTGTAATAAATTGAACTTCAAAACCTGCCAATTAGCAATTAAAACAGCTGGTTGCTTGAACCAACGACCTTAGGATATACACTTTGGTGCACACACACAGTACAACCATTAATCATACTGCAATTTTACATAAATATCAATACCATTTAACTTGGCATTCCAAGCTACTGTATGAGGTATTCATTCAAATTTATTTAATAAAAAAAAACCAAACAAAATATAATATTAATACATCTATATGAAACATGTTTAGTTCCAACTTTATGCTATTGGCTCTTCGTAATTTGTATTGTTATACAGTCTATTATTACAATATCTTACAACAAAAAAGAAAACGTAAAATTTTTTATATCAAGTATCAAATACATCTCAGCCACTTAAATACACCATTTAAAACAATCGACTATAAATTATTCAAAATCTTTTATAAATGGTTCTGGTTAAACCAGCTGCTCCGAGATAATTCTATCTTTTCTTTTTCATAATTGAGACTTTAAAATCAAAAAAATTTTCACATTCTTGATTTAATTTTAATATATAACTATCATAAAAATTCATTAGGGTTTTTATTTAAACATAATATTCTTTGTTAGAAATGTTGCCCATTCTAAATTGAATTTTGTTCATGTTATATTTCAACATTAGTACTATCCACACTATCAAATTTTCTTTGACAAAAAAACTGTTGCATGCCCATATACAGCCATGATGTGCCTATATATGGTCATGATGTGATGTCATCATGGCCATATTTAGGTATGTCACATTTTTTTCCCAAATAAAGTTTAATAGCATGGACAGGACTTTATACACATCATTATATTTCCTGTTCATATTACCAGTAGAGTCCCTCTCTCATTCATTTTACTCAGCACTGCGCATATATTAGGGCCAATAGAAAAAAATTATTAGTTTATCACCCTCGCATGCATGTCTTCTATGGTACTGAAAAAAAAACATATTTTAGAAGAAACCTTTTTTTTTTTTTTTAAAAAGAAAAAAATTTGAATTTTTTTTTTTTTCCACTTTTTTAAAATTAAACAGTAAATATTGTTTGTATTATCTCAATCATGTTTTACTTTGAAAATCAATACACCAGCAAACAACCCCAGGGTGATACTTGGCTTTAGCAAAATAAAAAATTAAAAAAAGCCTCCTTCCTTCATCACTTTTCCAGCCTAGATAGGGTGATAAACAAATAATATTTTTTAGAGGGCCTTAGATTAAATTAACATTTCACTTCTGTAATGTAGTTAGTAAGAAACAAAATCAATATTATTTGCGACTTATGAATATTATTCATATTTTAAACTTTCCTGTAAATTGCAATGCAGTAGTCATCACAGTCACATATTGCTTTTACTTTGACAGATATGGTGGCTTTTATTTATGACCTTTGAACTTAGTAGCAACATCCTGAATTATAACCAGATTGCTATGATTATACAGATAATTCTTTGACTGTTGCCTACAACTTTTTTTTTTTCTTAACATAATGACTTACCGTCAGGTGATGGGTGACAGTAACCATATTTGGGGTGTCATTAACCATATTTGGGTTGTCATTAACCATATTTGGGGTGTCAATCAGTGGGGCTTGGATGATATCCACCATTCAAATGTTTGCGTGACTATACCATGATAAACCCCACGATGATCTTTATAGGAACACAAACCACTTTTAACATTTATTGATATAATAATAGCGTATTGAATAGAGGTACTGATTAGCATTTTATAAGGTTATTAGCATCTACCAATCTGCTTCCCCTATCCCTCGATGAAATACCCAATCTTTACCTTCTAAGTTCATTATGCCATCCTTCAGGTGGAATTTCCATCTATTTCGTGTTCTATTAATCTATGAGGAACAATGTGAAAATGCTAGTAAGTTACACTGTTGCGTATACAACATGAATGAAACTTATCACAAACATGATGCAAGCATTTTTATTATTCATTTCTTTTGATATTTAATAATTAAGAGAACTATTTAATATTGACCCCATACAATGTAACAAAATGAAGTCAATTCGTAGTCAGAACTGGACATGCTCGTATCCGAAGTCAATTGACATAAACATATGTTGTGTGTAATGTGTTTTCTGTTGATTGTCCTTGATGTGCAGTTCTAATTATGAATTCAACATAATTACTGCAATGTGATATTAATGTTTCATTTGGGCGTTTGTAAAACAGAATGCATCACAATGTTGTACAGCTGTATGTACTTCCTATAGCTTTATGCTTTGTAGTGCATAAAGCATCCAAGATCAAGTACAGTATAGTTCATGCATTAAGATAGCATGTACCAAAAATGCTGAGAAAAAATGTTTTTCTATGTTATAGCACAACAGACACAAAAATTGGCAATTATGAGTTTCTTTATAAGTCACAGCTCTGGACATAATCTTCCAGTTACAAGTGTAAATCTAGCCTTGCTCTGCTATTTGTTGATCTCTTTATCAAAGTAAAATAATTTCATAAAACTGATCGTTCATAATTAAGTTCTTAAAACGTAGACCGACTGCTAAACATAATTCTTCTTCCGTTAAGTTGCCGCCGCCTTCATCTTGTTGAAGATTCTGCAACTATCTACAAGGTCATGTGTGTCCAGGGATTTAGCCAGAAAAATGAAGTGGCTGTCCAAAATAGAGGCAAGTGGGCGTGGCCTGAGCTGATGAGTGGGCCACACCAACTCAAGGCCATGCCCCTCCCAAACATAAGAAAAAATAGAAAATTATGATCTTTAGAGGGCATTTAAAAGTGTTTAAAACGTTTGAGTGTTGAATTAGCTATCACTAAGACATTTCAGTTTTATACGTAGATTGCGCACGGCTACGGTATTTCTAGGCTATGCAGATATTGCATCTTCATCTCTCAGTCCTCCGAATCCAGAGATAGGCCTAGACCTATTTTTTGACTAATAAAATTTAACTTGTTTAACAACAAACCTTCTTTAAGGTATTTCATGAATTAATCAACACCACCAAAAATATTATGTCGGGGAACCAAATCTTGAGTATTGTATTTGTAGAGTCACATATATGATTGTACATAACACAACTCATGACGATTCATTGCATCTGCATTTAACTCACACCGGAACGATGAGACAATAAATCGCATTGGGCTGTACCATACAACACTTCCGAATTGTACTTAAGACATATTAATGCAATCATGACTGGAAATTGTACCCAACGCAGTCTCACAAAACACTAATCATGTCTGTATTTAATTCACACAGACACAAAGCGACAATAAATCGTGTCGGGGTTGGCCTTCAGATTAAAATATCCATGAAATCATGAGCTTTATAGAAATTTTATTTATCTTGGAAATTTACTTTATCTTGGAAATATATTGAATATAAATAGCAATTGAAAAATAACCCTTTAAATACCGACCTTTTCATATTGACAGACTATGACGTTATCTGTATCAAAAATGTCCTCTGGCTCATCACCACTGTCATCATCATCAGTGTTCAAAGGTTCCTAAGGAACATTCAAAACAAATATAAAATAAATTAAAAAGAAAAAATTACACCACTATCATCTTTTCCGAATACAACAGTTAATACAAATACTACCAAAATAAAAATATAGGAAATCTAACATTGAAAACAAAATAATCTTCTAAATCCGAGTTCAACTAAGGCCTGTCCACACTATAAAATATCAAAAATTAATGTGACATGAACATATTTGGGTGTAATATGACATCATCATACCTACAGTATATATCGGCAATTCACACAAACTTCTCACTTATAATTTGACATGTGTGGACAGAGTTAAGAATTACAAAAATGAGAAATTTATAATGGAATATGATAATGATTATTATCAATATCTAAATCTAATAGATAGTGCTATAAAAAAAATGTGAGAAATTAAAAACATAAAGTACCATTTAGGTTTTTAATTTTGCATAAACATGAGTGTTACTAAAATAAGCATTTAAATCAAAGAGCAAAATGTGAGATATTAAATGCATGCACTCATCAAACAGAACATGCGTTAAGCTAAGTTATGGTTAATACATGTAGGACTTGAAAGAGTACTAAAAGGTTAAGGTTCAACAAAGGATTTATATAGCGCTTTATACCGAAGTCTCAAAGCGACTGAGGTGTGGACTAGCTTGTGCAGTAACTTGCTTCAAGGTAAACCTGTAGCAGCTACTCTTGTCTGTCCACAACAAGGGTTGTATGGGCCAGTGCCCAAAGGTGATCGCCCCTACTTATCTCAAAAAGATATACCTGGTTCTTTAATGTGTACATTAGCCAAATTGTGTACACTGGGCCTAAAGTTAATAGCCCTTACTGGAAAAGACCTGTTCAACCACCAGCACCATATAGGCAAGCGTGCTGTTCGAACCAGCGCCGATATTACGGCTGTAGATGCAGCGTCCCTGCCTTAACCGTTTGACCATTTGACTCGTCGAGAGGTTAAGTATGTGGAATGCACCTTTTATATACTTGCTAGGTTCCCACAAAATGACGGTGTAAAAACATTCGCAAATGTGCATTTGCGGGACAAGCGTGTATTCCTAGCCCTGTTCTGATTGGTCGGGTTTTTTTAAAAGTCTAATTAAGTTTAATAAAGTGTACCACAAGAAATTGCCATATAGCATATGAAACAATTTATCATAATTGACCAGTATTATCCCTTCAGTGAGCAGGAATGCAGTTACAGTGGGTGGGGCCACCCAGCTTTTAAAGTTTTCAACTCAGTGTAAGCTAATTTAATGGCCCTCCATCTACCTTTATTAACCTCCTTGCCCATCCTTAAAATCCACTCTTATTATTGAGAGTATACAAATGTTATCACCTACCCACCCTTTAGTTTTCTACAGCTACAACCATGTTGTACTAGAAATCAAAATACTGTACAGATAATTCCACAACATTTATAATACATTATTATTAATTAATAATTTTATTCCATAACTTACCTCTTCAATTACAGCACCTTGAAGATCATCACCATCATCTTCTCCATCATCATCCTCTTTACCAGCATCATCATCATCCTCATCATCATCACCAAAATCATCCTCATCTGAAGATGAATCATTTCCTCCATCAACTTGTAATACCGACGGTTGCTGAGCCTGTGCAAAAAAAGATACAGATATTTTATCATCTTGCATTTTATACAAATAAATCAGTGCATGTAAATATTTTTATTTTATTACAGTATAAGATACAGATTGCCCTCTATTTCGAGACCATCTTTGGGACCTGAAAATAGAGGGTCTTAGCGTTTGGTCTCAAATAACAGGGGTAGCTTTGTGTTAACATTGAAAATTGCTTGTTAGTACTTTCAAATTAGAGGGGTCTCGGAATTAGAGGATGAACTGTATTTCATTTCACACTAATAAACTACGGGGTAACCCACTAAAAATATAATTTACAATAGTGATGTCACAAGAATAAAGTTGTAAATAAATATGCATCCTGTGCAATCCTGACAAGGAGAATTAATGCATTTATGCTTTGCAGTATAAGTATAGCCTTTTCAACCATTACATTTTCTGATAAATATTTTCATTGAATGTGACATATAATGTAAATTAAAGTAGTGTCTGGATGCATGTAATGTTAATTTTTTAGTTCAAGTTTATATACATCCCCTCCATTTAAGTCTTGATTTATATACAGGTAATTAAATACCTGCAAATAAGCAGACCTTAAATTTCAAGCTTGAATTTTTGAAAAAAACATGGTCTCAATTAGAAATACAGAGATTAAATTTTGAGAAAAGGTCAAAGGACAAGGTCAAGATCAAGGAAATTTGATATTCTACATTTGAGCATAAAAGAAAATGATGGAATTGCCCATAACCGACCTGAGTATCGTTTGGTAATAGTAATAATAGTGTAGTTTTATATAGTGCCATATCCATCTAACATAAGATGCTCAGGGCGGTTGATATGTGGACTAGGAACTCGATCAATGACTTTCTTCACCCCTAAGGGTCCCTTTGTGTCTGTGCTACCCGGTAACCAGGTACCAGCAACTCTCGTCGTCCACCACAGGGGCTGTCTGTTCCAGCATACCGGCGTATCCCTCTACTCGTCTCGAAGGATCTACTGGGTTCTTTATAGTGTACACGAGCCATTGTATACACTGGGCCTACGGTTTATAATCCTTATCCGAGAAGACTTGTTCTACCACCAGGATCATAGGTGAGCGTGCCGTTTGAACTAGCGCCGATATTATGGCTGTAGCTTGCGGTGCCCCTGCACCCCGCTCGGCCATTTCACTTGCCTGGTATTCAGGCACAGTGCGGAGGTATGTACTCCATGGAGTGACTGCTCCAGTATTTGTAATAAATTGTTTAGGAAGAGAGCATTACCTGAGATTGCACTTGAATTTGCTGTAACGTTGCCTGTCCCACCTGTGTTGATATAACACCCGGATGTTGCTGAGGTAACGTTGCTTGTCCCACCTGCGTTGATAAAACACCTGCATGTTGCTGTGACAGAGCTGCAGCTGAGGTAGCCTGAGCTGCAGGTCCACTGAGTTGTCTTTGCTGCTGCTGCAACTGCTGCTGCTGTTGTTGTAAGACAGCTGCTTGGACCTGTTGCATTGTGGGTGGGTGTACTGCATAGACAATTTGGTCACCTACTTGGTAACAACGATATACCGGTTGCTGTGTTCCCGGTGCTATAATGAAAAACAATACCAAACATTACACAAAAGGTAAAACTTCCACAATGCTAATAAAATTGATTTTTATCAAATCAAAATAATTTTTACAATGTAGTATTCTTATTCACTGTATTAACTAACAGTTTATTTTTTTTTTCCACAAATACTTTTTACAATGTAGTATTCTTATTCAATGTATTAACAGTTTATTTATTTTTTTCAAGACAATTTAAAACACATTTTCTCTAGTCTCTCTAAATAATTTATTCGCTTTTTTTAAACGTTTTTGTTTCTTCCTTTAGCATAGGTTAGATTAGTCGCCAGTATCAGACAAGCACCTGCGAGGACTGTTCCAGCTGGCCATATGTCTCAAACTGCTTTGTTTTAGGATAGTTCATGGGTTAGTTTTCTTTTTCATATTCTTTCATTGCTTTGAGATGATTTCTAGTTGTTTAAGGCGCTATACATGTTGATTTCCATTTAAATTTATTGTACAAAGGAAAGAGGATAGCATATTCTTAGGGAATAGTGTACATCCCAATCCCACATACCAATCAACCGAGGCCTACCCAGGCCGAAGTACTGTAAGATGTAAGGATTGGTCAACAACAAATCAAAAACTTCAAAGATTATTTAATTGAACAAAATCACAACAAAATTCCTTACTTAATTAAATAATAAAATTACGATATAAGGATTTTAAAGGTTTGTATGTCTTGAGTTCAAAAAGAGTGCAACAGTGATAGATCCAGGAATTCAAATTAAAGAGGCGCTGGGAGAAACTTGGTTTAGACCACCTCAGCCACACTATGGTTGGGGCTAAAGTCATGATGCTAAGAGAAAAATACACTAACTTATCCCTATAATATCATACAGATAATGTGATAATTTATGGACGTTATCTTCGAATTACTATTGGAATCTGATAAGGTTACTGGTACAATAGCTTACCCGCTTGCGGCAACGCTATTGATTGCTGTGTGGCTGCTAGCTCTGTGGGCAAATTAACATATGGTACATTCTGAATTGCAATGGAGGCCGATGCTGCTGCTCCACTCTGTGAAATAAATTCACAACTAACAAAATTTAAGATGTATAATAAATGTATGATATCATTAGTTATTGACATTATTTCAATTCATATCTGCAAGCCTTTTAATAACAATAACATCTGACAGAATACTTCATGCCAGGCTCATTAACTATACAAATGCTATGCCATTAAACATTTTTTTTATCTTTTAATGAGCATAAACTAAACATGTGGAATAGCAACAATGAGTAAATGCTATGCATTCTACTATCATATGATGGACTTTTTATGTGTTTTTAAAAACTAAAGTTTATTAGGCCTAACACTGTAAGAATAGTTCTGTATTTGTTATAACAATAAAGTTACCAGGAATACAACAAATATATACAGTAGATCATGATATACTTGTTGGTCAAGATACCTGCCTTTTATCTCCAAGGTCAAGGTTACCAGGAAATTTTAAAAACTCAATCAACAAGACTTAATTACACAGCATTGCTCCATCATGAAAATGGTGAGTGTATATATACTGTTGAACGTCAACCCACCCAAAAGCTATGATATCCATTTGTTAGTGTTTGTTTACCAATGCATCCCCATCCCACCCCATGCTGTGATGTTCATCTGTTAGTGTGTGCTTACCAATGCTGCAGGCTGAACAAGATCCACACCATGCTGCTTTCCTGCTGCAACCATTGCATCTATGGAAGTAATGTATGTACAATTAAAGCCATGTCTAGAATATTAACATGTGTTGTATGCCTATATATAGTCATGATGTGCCTATACAGTAGAACCCCTCATTTACGTACGGCACGGGCCCAGAGCCGTTCGTAAATTCGGATATGTGTAAAATCGGGGTTGACCTAAATTCCTATATATTTGCAATAGTACTACTTACACTGGCATAAACTAGGCCTAGGCTAGGCCTACAGGCTTACGCAGCTAAGTCTGAGGGGGCCTAGGCCTACAGTTGGCAGCTTCTAAGCATTCTGATCCCTCTAGGCCCTACACAAAATTGTTTTTATCGGCCATTTTTACCTTCTTAAATACCTAGATTGTGGATTTTACTCCAACACAAACTTCCATAGATACTTGTTTATTATATATATTGATCATTCAATAAAACAATCAAGCACTACGTTAATTTTAAAGCTGAAAACGATGTTTGAAAGAGAAGTAAAATTTGTCGCATGCACATGTGTGAAGCCATGAAAAACACAGACTTAGAAGAGACCTGTTAGAGGGCCTCCTTCACTTGAGAATTACATAGTACTGTATAGTATGGTGTGTTGTGTTGTATGCATACAAATAACAGTTACAATTTGAGCGAATTTTTTTTTTTTAATCTTTCACTTCAATTTTTATGACGTCATCACCTTTATATTGCGTTCGTAAATTCGGGAATTCGTTAAATCGGGGTTCGTAAATGAGGGTTTCTACTGTATATGGTTCTGATGTGATGTTATCAACATCATTTAGGCATGTCACGTTTTTTTGTCAAATGAACATTTGACAGTCTGAAGAGGCTTTACATTAATAACTACTCAGTGAACTTACTACACCACCAAAAAAGAAATTAACATTTTTACACCCTAAATAAACATAAATAAATTGTATTTTCTCCTCAAAAACAAGGTCAGCTGTGTGAGATGGGCAATGCATCGAAAAAAACAGACATGGTCAATAGCAAATTATATTCCCATATCCTGAAGTATATACCCTTTAATGATACACAAGTCTTATCTTGATGATATGAATATTGTATGAAAGGTAATGTACTATCTAATCTATCAAACTACTGTGTATAAAGTTTAAAATAAATTCATTGTTACTTTTATATCATTGAATTATCGTTGCATTTAATTGCATTGTCAACAAGCTGTGGTAGAATACAAGCTTTCATAATGAATGATACTGTACTGGTGTTGTAACTCACCATGTTTTTGTTGGAAGTTCCTGTTAGCTGCTGTATTGTGGACTGCAGTTGCTTGAGACATGGGATAGCGCGGTTCATGGCTCTCCAGGGCTCGAGACTGTATTAACTTTGTTTTCCATATCTAGCATAAAAACAAAACAACACTGGTAATTAGGACTGCACAAATCCGCAGCTTAAATACAGTTTCTCCAGGCTTACCTAGTAAATCGCTTTCCTACCTCCATGCATGGAATAATGTTCCATGTTACGTCAATAAACTAATTCCATATCATATCGCTATGGTAACTACAGCTTAGTTCACTTCCAAAATAAATCATTGGTTTTCATCATACATTTGATGGGATGTTCTGATTACTTAACTGCCTACTTGGATTCTTATATAATTGGATTCTTATATAAGACATTAACCTTTTGAAAATTAAAATTTAATATACACAATCTTGTTACAGAAAAGCATAGGTCAGTCCACTAAACCGGTAGCCAAGTGCATGTGCACATTGAACCATAGATATCTTTGGATTTCTGGTTCTCTGGACGGTTTCGCTAGGTCCTGCCCCCTTGGATATTATTGCTTAGGTTTCACGAAATGACAGCCGTGATCGTACATACGTAACCTTGCGTCTGCGGGGCATGTGCATATTCCTGACTCATTCTAATTGATTAGTAAGTTTGACTTAAATACCGGATTGGTTTTTCAATGAAACTTCTAGAAGTGCAGTCTTTCTCAAACTTACACATATTTCTCAAACACTGGCCAAATGACTGCTTTATGTGCTGGCTAGGTACCTAGCAAATTTAGTTTACAACTTACAAATGGCTCATGTAGTCTATAAGAATATATGCCTTTATTTACTGTACGCTATATAACAGGAGTATTTATCCACATAACAAACGACATTCTAAGTGGAAACTTAATACTATAGTCCTAAAATGGTAGGCCTACATTTCAATTCAATTAGACACAATGCTTTAGTTTACAGGTAAGCTGGAAGCGACCTTAGTTGTTTGTTTATTGTTGTATTACAAAAACATATGAATAAAGCAAGATATATATCCCCTGTCCAGACAGAACTCGTGGACACTCTTTAAAGTTGCTAAAACAACGTTCTCGTTTGGATTTAAGAAGGGTTTTCCTTTGGCAATCGCATTGTGGACAATTGGAATGCACTTTCAAATGAAGTTGTAAGAGCTCCCTCTTTCTATGCGTTCGAGAATAGACTTGATAAATTCTGGAAGGATCAAGATTCCTTTATTATCATTAACCAAACATGTGACAAATGAAATTCTTTTTGTTTGCTACATGTAGTGAAGACATGGAAAGACAGTAAAAGGCAATTAAATATAAAAATATGAAAAACATTAAAAACAACAAACGGCTACAATATAGATATAAATGTACAGTACCTATCTACTACGGCAGTTATCTAGCAAATCTCTCGTTAAATTCATGGATTGATTATGAATGAATTTCTGTGTCTATTTGTATCCTGACGCCACCCTTGTCCGAGAGATCTGCAGTGATGGTACCACCTTACCCCCACCATGGTTGGGCTGAAGAAAGAAAATTATGAGTATGGCACCTATAGAGGGCCAGAAATAGCACGCTCAGACTAAAATTTGAATATGATTTTCTTTTTTCTCTCCATTTTTTATTTTTTTATTTTGAAAATTTTCTTTTTTTGGGGGGTGGGAGGAGGCTTAACTCTTGAATCTGCCACTGATCTGGTAAATGTTATTTCGTAGCATTTAATTTTAATTCTTAATTTTTTTGCTGCACATTGTGATATACATTGGCAATGACTTCCTGTGAGGCAATTGATAATATTAATGAAGCAGTGAAAACATGCAAATATTATGAATTTACAGGATATGGGTTAATCTCCGGGAGATTCTTGCTTGCTTGCGGGAGACCATCCAGATTTCTAGGAGACTCTCGCGACTTCCGGGAGACTTTGGACCCCTGTAATCTGGACAAACAAAAATCATAAAGTAAAATAAAATTAATGAAATAATTATTTTATTATCCTATGTAAAGTATAAACAAATTTACTAACTAAAAAAAAAAGTTGTTTGTGTGCAGGCTTATTTGGGTTTTAAGTTACTGTATTTGCAGTGAGGGGTAAATTCTTATTTTTAAAAAAAATATTTATGCATTTTGCGCTATGTAAGTATAAAATTATTATTATTATTAAATCAATAAATTTTAATTTAAAAAATCACATAGCAATATGCATTCTAAGAAAAATAATCAGTCATAGAGACAAAATATGAATACCAGTGTGCAGTACAGATATTCCTAATTAATATTCATTTTATTACAATGACACGCCACTTTGGATAAATAGGTCACCATTATTAACTTACAGTATGTCATTTTTTATATAATGAAAAATAATGCTATGAGAAACGATGTCTGGATCAGCTGAGCTATGCAATACACACCAGTTCCCCTCCACAAGACCACCTCTAACTACTGAAAAGATACACTTCTGTAGCCTAAAACGTATATCGTTTGTAAATACAGTAATAAACATAAAAAAAACCCCAAAAAACTTGTTCCTAAAAGCAGGGGAGAGGTGAAAGCTAAATATAAACACAAATACAGCAGCCAGAAAAAAAAAAAAGCCACTGGATAACACTAGTTCTTCTAGTGGTAATATATCATGTAGGTATAAATATGTATTCTAATTCATGAATATTAATTAGTATGTTATGCAAGGAACATCTATGGGTAGTATTAACATGAAATGGTGGTGGGAGGTTTGGTGGCTGAGTGAAGGAATGCTAAATGGAGGACTGAAGTGGTATATTAAACCTAAGAGGTAATTTTTGGTCAACAAATTTCCAATGGGTGAAGAAAAGTTGGGGGTCGGAAAGGAAACTTTTGCTGGGGAAATTGCATTCCCTTAGATATGCCATTGTAGTCTTTCATAGTCAGAACAGAAATACAGTACTGAATACAATAAATGAAAAATTAATACAGTAACTGATTAATGATATATGCATTAACAAATTATTTTGACTTATATTAAAAAATTAAAGTTCGCTTATTTCTTCTTCTTCATGTCTCATATCCAGATCACTCACAAAACATTGTTTCGATCAATTTAATTTCATAAACAAACTTTAAAACTTCCCACCACACTAGTCCCCGTACTCTGTCTGTCATTATCTTGTTTCCTGTACTTTCATTGATTTTGACATTTTTTATAATATTTTTATTACAATTTGTGTTGATTGCATACAGATATAATGCTATTTTTTTTACAATTATCTCCCTCCATGAAAACATATTAAAAAACATGTTCTGTACACTTGAACCTAATTGTACTGGTTAAATTATGAGAAAGAAATAATGATTTAAACACAACCGAAAAAGCCAGTCTATTCTGTAAAACCACAATCTCACTGAAAAGAATTATTTTGATACAACAACTCAACCCATAATAATCAATGTCCTTGTTGCATAGATCTTACCCCTAGTGTTTATATATCACCAAGTGAACACAACCAGCCTGTACAACTAAGCTTATAGGCTGTTTTTATTACATATTCATGAGCTATGTTGTTATATGGCCTGCTCTGATTGGTCAATGGATGCTCATTATTGACTGAACCACAAAGCTATAAATACATGGTGTTATGCAAATGACGGCATGAAAGATTGAGCAGCTGAAGCGGTGGAAGCTAGGCTTGATGAATTTGCAGCGTAGGGGCTTCATGCAGGCAGGCAGAACCTTCACGTACAATATCCATTGCTAGTGCTGTAGTGGCTTACTCAAAAGGAATAGTGAAATTCTAACCTCACTTTAATCCCTTATAAATACTGTACTGCCAACAAATATATAACCTGCAGTATACAACTAAAACCTAAGAAGTCAAATTTAATTGTTTTAATCATGTAAATATTGTTCTTTTTTTGGGAATTTGATATATGAAATGGAATTTCCCTATTTTTAACATTTTTTCACACAATGGTTGCTTTGTTGAAATGAATTGATAACTATCCTTTGTATATATTGTCGGAAATCAAAATAATTTTTTATAAAAATACAACAGATTGAACAAATTACTCTAGGAGAATATAAATTTCAACAGTTGAGTTTGGCACTATTATATAAACAGATTAAATTCTTACTTCTAGCGATAAAACAATAATATACAAAACTACAAGAAATGTAAACATACCTGTTTTAGCTCATCCAAAATTTGTTCATCAACCCCTTCATTTTCAAATTCTTCCTTCACATTACTAATAACATTTTCAATTATTTCATTGTAGAATTTTGACTGCAAATATAGAACAAAATGAATAACATTTTTTCATAGCATCTTATTTTTATACTATTATGCATACCTAAAAGACAAACCTTTTTTTTTTACACATAAATAAATTGTATTTTTTCAATTAATAAAAAATCATGAATGAAGAGATACAGATACAGAAGATGGTTAATTATAATAATAACAGCTGGTAAGACCTTCTGGTGAATACACAATTTTGCCAAATCAGCAGATTCAATTTAAAATGGTATTTTAATTCATCTCAATAGGCCTATAAAATAAATATCTAGGCCTGGCCCTTAGCCGTCTAGCCTAGCCTAATACATTTCATATTTTTATTAGAATAAAAACAATCATGGTAAAATTTATGAATATAATTCTGTTGCCTGACAAATATTGTAATCTTTAAACACTCCAATCAAAAGCCAAGTCATGTATTTCTTGATGCAAGTTTAGGTACAAAACAAAAAAGCTGATGGCATTGGTCTAACCAGCATTTTAAAAAAATACTTGAATAATAATATAAGATGTTAAAGAGGCTTAATAATTTTTCATTAAAAAATGTAAACTCATCATAAAATAAGGACCAAGGGCAAGGGCAACAAAGACCTGTCTGTGGAAGCATTATGAATTACCAATCACCACAGATACATTGCCAAGTAGAATGTATTTTTACTACTATACAACTATGAATTTTATTTTTCATTTCATATAAAACACAAATTGTTACGAGATTCGAATTCAACACCAGTGAATGAAAGACTAGAAAAACCCTACTCTAAGCAGCAGTGAGGAATACCGCAGTGAGCACGGTAGCTCGGTTGAACATCAGTCAGGCGAGTGGACATTTTGGCCGATCACAGTGCAGATAAAATTACCTTTCTTCCCCCAATTTCCATTAAGATTTGAGCATCAATTTAAACAAAATCACTTACCACATCTGTTCGTGACATTTTTTCTTAACAAAAGATTTATTAAGCTTAAATTTTCAACACGCTAATCAACTAACGATCTGGGCTTCCAAAAAGCCGATAGGCAACTGTGCGCTATCGCTTTTATACTCGCAACAAAGTCAATTTCCATAGGGGGTTTGCGTATTGAACAATACATATACCCCAATGAGATTTACGGCTGGTCAATAATTGTTTTCGTATATTAATAAATACAATATTGTTAGTACGCAAATATGTGTTAATATTAACTAAACACATTTATTATAGCATAATACTTATATTTTTAATACGGAAGGTTAAAATAGTACATTTATTTTAATTATAGACCAAACACAAAAACCCATATTTATATTCAATTCTCGTAAACTAAACATTGGAGCAGACGACGTGCTTAAACTTCCCACTGTCACCACAAAGTGACGGAAAGGGATTGTAAACAAAGGTTCGTTTTGTCATTATGTGAGTGTGTCAGGAGATAGAATTCAACTTGGGCAATTTGCTTTAAATTATATACAATTTTATAAATGAACATAATTACTATTTAAAATCAATTTGAGCTTATACGAATACTGTACTATACTTTATTTTCATAATTTTTCTTTCTCTTTTTGTTTATTTTTTCGTCAAATGTGTCGGATATAGTGGTGAAAAATTGAAATTTAGATAATAAAACAAAACAAACCAGAAATCAAAAGAATTTGAAAAAAAAAACTGAATTAAAATATAATAATATAAAATAATAATGATAGTAGACCTATTAATAATTATTAATAGAGATAATAATATATGATAAAAAATAAAATAGAAATATTCAGTAAGCTAAATTACAATTGAATCGTACACATAAAATAACTATACAAATATATTTACAAAAAATAAAAAATAAATAAACATCACAAAATAGTATTGGGGTTGAGGTGGTTTAGGCCCTCTATCTATAACTTCCCCATGTTACCTGTTTATCAATCATTAAATAAATAAACGATGACTAGGATGACAATACAAACTTCACATATCGATATAGAATATTCATTTTGGGAAAACCAAAAGAAAAATAACTACAAAATAAACAAAATCAAAATTAAGAAAAGAAAAAAAAAAAAAAATTACGTACTATTTTATCATTTGCAACAAAGAGCCCTCACTGTTTGAGAACAGACTGAGGTACAATTTATTGAAATGTTTGCGGTATATAGATTAATTATTATATCATTGGGTACTATTATTATAGCGGAACGGATGACAGGTATTAGGGAAATCCCCCTGCCTTAGAATGTAGCTTCCCTTCCCATACAAGGAAGCTGTATCCCTATATATGGCTACCATGGCAGACATATTTGGAATGGTTACTTCCTTTTTCTGCACGAAATTGCCTCATTGCATTTTCGTACAAAAAAGTGTTACGCGTGTGTAGCGCAATCCTCTTCACTGCAACATTTGTAACGAAATCAACCTAACAAAACGTACTTGTGTAATAGTAGTTATAAATATCTTTACTCATGGACACTAAATAGAAATTATATGTCGAACAGATAAAATAAAATCCTACTTTTGGACAATTATTTGGCGTAGGAATCTAAATAGGTTATTCGGTCGGACCTTATAAAGAACAGTGTACTTGAAGTTACGTTTTGATCAAAGCCAAGGAAATTGTGATATTAGGCGCCCGGGAAAATAGAAACAGTGATCGCTTCCAAGAGTAAATAAATGAAAGATGAATCAGTCACCTTATTCGAGCCATCAACCTATACCAATTGCTCCTCGTTTAGGGGGCTACGTCTCAGTCCCATCCAACAAAAGATCATCACCGGCTAACGGCGGAGATGAAGCTGATGACTCTAGCGGTAGTGACCATGAAATGCTTGAAAGAATGGAAAGTGAGCACGGGGCTGAGCAAGTTCTTCTGTCGCTGGCCGAAGCTGGAGTGCCTCCCAAAAAGAAAACAAAGGGAAGAGTTAAGATAAAGATGGAATTCATTGACAACAAGCTTCGAAGATACACTACGTTTAGTAAACGTAAGACGGGAATTATGAAAAAGGTATGTAATACTTAGTTTAGTAAACCAGAAATAATTTTTCCAACCTAGGATCTAGGCTAGGCCTAGGCCTAGAGGGGTCTAGTCATAGGACTAGGCCAGCCTTGGTTGGTTGGTTGGTACCTAGGCCTAGTAGAAGTAATATTACTAAGGTATCTAATCAAAGGCTAGGCCTAAGTCTTTTTGTATTTTGAAATTGTGTATCTTTAAATTGACATTCAAAGGCAAAGCTAGTGCTAGGCCTAGGCCATCTCCATCAGGTGTGGTTGATGAGTGGTGCAGGTTATTCAGTTGATTATCAATACATTCGCAGGTCTTTAGGGCAAATAGAGAAATTTATTAGATTATCACTCCCGTTCGCGTCAAAAATTCGGAAAATATTGATGCGGCAATAAAAAAAAAATATATTTTTTTTGCCGCATCAATTATTTCAACAGCATAAAATAACAATACAATTTTGTGACTTCAAATTTATTTTCTTTAAAAAAACTATATTTAAAATTAAACCAGTTTTTATACAATATTTACTATTACAGACCAAATATAAACAGTCTCTCCCTCATTGATAAAAACAAAAGTGAAATAATCTTATTGTTCTGATTCTTTCACTGAGGTATTTTTTCGCAGCTCTGCAATGGAAAACCATTTAGCAAGTGCCCTATAAGTCTTTCCTTTTTGATTTTGTTAAGCTGTAACCTGTATGTTATCTATCTGTAGGCATATGAATTGTCTACCCTGACCGGAACTCAGGTAATGTTGCTGGTTGCCAGTGAGACGGGTCATGTTTACACTTTTGCTACACGCAAACTTCAGCCAATGATTACGAGCGAAGCTGGGAAAGCATTGATTCAAACATGTCTCAATTCGCCAGACCCTCCTGTTGAGAACAACTCGGCCAATCAAAGAATGTGCGCTACGGGATTCGAAGAAACAGAACTTACATATCCTATCATTGATGAAGACGGGACAAAGGTCAGGTTTTATTTAATTTGTTTATTAATAATATCCATGAATCACATAGACAATTCTGAATTGCTTCGAAATTACAAATAGCGTTCTGAAAAAAAACTGATCTCTAGTAATTCATAAATACTGTAGTACTGTATGGCATGTGTTAAGCCCCGTCAAGACTGATAAAAACATATGACATGCTTAAATATGGTAATGATGGCATGACATCATGATATACTGTATATAGGCACATCATGACTATATATGGGCATACATTTTTTTTTCAAATAAAATTTGATAGCAGGGACTGAGTTTTACACTCCATTCATACACAATACATGTGCAAAATGTGTGTGTTCACAATATATGTGTATTTTGTATTTATTTAAAATGATTTTTTTAAAACTATGAATTCACCAAAAATGTTGAATGTTGTTTGTTTTGTTTTTAAAAGTAATTTTCATTCTTTTTCATTTAGAATGTGTGATCTGTTTAATAATTTTCAGTTTATTTAATATTACCTTTGGTTGTATTAACTTTTGAATAGATGGAAAATATTGTCGTGTACAATTTTAAGTTAATGTGTTTTAAGTTGTGTTAATGTGCACTTTATAAATCTTATTATTAATATATATTATTTTATTTATTATTAATAAATATGAATACCTGAATCTCAGTAAATCTTACATAAATAGGAAGTTGTGTAGTTTCTAGGAAGAGAAATTTAACTGACTCAACAAATTTAAGCTTTTTATTGTGAATCATTTTTGTAAAACTGGTCTTTAAATACAGCTCTGATCTAATTTCTTTCAACACTTCCAATTATTTATTTACCAATAAAGTCTTCAAAATTCCATAAATGATTTGAAAGTAGTGAAACTTCTTTCATTTGCCTTAAAATAATAGTTTTTGTTGTTTCATTGATAAATCTACTATCCCAAACATGGCAGATCCCATATTTAGTTGAAATACGTCCAAATAAGGTATTGTTGCAACCATATTAGTTGGCAGCATGTTGCCAACAACTGACGCATTCAAGGACTTTCATCTTTGCCTGACTTCCTTTTATGGTGTTGTCCAATTATGGTGTGGTTCAAAGGTTAAAACCTAGTAGCTCTTTCTGTGCTAGTAGTATGATAATGGAATGTTGATTAATTTTATGAACACATTTTTGATTACTTCTCAAAATACTTTGGCTTTAATTGGTAATTAATAACAAGGCTTTTTAAATATATAATATTCATCTGAATGGTTCATATGTTAAATGTATAACACTAAATAAAAACCTTTATGTATAATCATCACAATTAATTAGTTGGAAAAGAAATTAGGTATTGAATGAATTGGCTTTAGTCTGTTCATATGGTCTGTTTTAGAGATTTAGATGGTTCTGATTTTTTTTTATTCCCATGACTGCTTATCCTGAAGAAAATAACTTTACTGTAATAGATGATTTTATAGCGCCTTATACTAATAATAGCCTCAAAGTAGTTAACAATGATTATGATAGCATAACTAGACATCATTTATTGCTATTTGCTAATAACATGGTTTTATTATTTTTTAATTAATTATTGTTTTATTTTTGTTAACGTTTGTCTATGATCTTTTAAGAAATACTTTTGTTTTGTCACTTTTTAAGCTATTTTGCAAATTTTTTAAATTGATTAGTACCATTTTTAAATGTTTGCATTTTTAAATATTTAATTTTCATTATTTTAGTTATATTTATAGTCATATCTTTAGTGAACACAAACATGCATGCAGAAACCGGAACTATTTTCTGAAATGTTGGTTGTTTGCTATGGCTACATCAGTTTCTGAATGTGTAGGGTGATGTCATATACGCCGATGCTAATTCAGGATGTTGTCGTAATGTTCTTTTTTAAGACCATCGTATGGTTCCCTGTATGGAATTGCATTGCTCAACTAAGGCTTGTGCAGCCGGTAGTTTGACGTCATACTGTATATGACATCATTCAGTAAAAGCATATTTGGAATGGCTGGGATGTTCTGCTTCTGGTGGTGTTATCTAGAAGCTTAGCGAACCCTGTTTCATATCTTAAGTCATCTGCCAATCTTATGGTCACATGGTTTAGTCTCTCCAATCATAATCGGAGAAGTGCGATCGATTTGGCCGACCTGGTTATTGAGCTGCTGTAGGGACTTTAATTTTCAGGTGACTTGTTGAATGATAATCTAATTGGTTGAATACCACCCATCATCATTAATACTTAAAGTTACAGTTAATAATTTCAATCTGAATGTTTGTATACATGTAAGATAATATGGTGCTTTAAAATTTTTCTTGAGCATAGGCTGGTGGGAGGATGCACTCCCCTCCCCCGATGGCAGCAAATTAGTTGCACTAAGTAGGTTAAAATACTAAAATTGACCATTAGGTATTAATTAATTGGGATTTAGTTTAACTCATTCTCAATTGTCGCACCCCTTACAGGCCAAAAACCAGTCTAAATGTTTTCATATTTTTGTAAATTGCAAAATTTGCCTTGTTTTCGCACAGTAGCTTGACATGGGCTTTAAATAATTGTATCATATTTTGCAACAGTCTTTTCATTATAAATTGTTATGTCAGGAGTACAGTACCTCCTCCCCCTCCCTTGACCACAAAATTGGGACAATTTTGTTATAGCTTACAGTATACCCGAGGAATCCCCTTTTCATTCAAATGAAAATTGCTCAGCACTGTATGCCTAAATCACAGCCAATAATACAGTAAATATTTCTTTCTGAGAATATTTTTAAAAGCTATACCCTGGTATGTAGAATTGGGCATAAAGTTGGTGGGGGGGGGGGGTGTTTATATACAAGATGGGCTTATACCCGAGCAACTGCGGAATATAATTTTTAATAGGATATATTTTGATTGAAGTACAGTACTGCCGAATCTAGCCACCTATTGTTTTCATAATTACCTAAAACTGTTCTTGATATGTGGTAACTTTTAGAAGTGAAGAAAACCTGATTGGATAGATCATGTTACCAATCATCTGTATAAGTCCATGAGTCCCAAATTTGGATTGCCATATTTGGGGATGGTATGTCTAAAATTGTCGTGTTGTCAGTTGTGGCTTGATGCCAGGCACGTGCCGTCAGCTGTCTCTATAAATACTGTACAGTCTTCAACTTGTGCATAGGAACTTTATGATGAATTACATTTTTTTTTTTTTATAAGAACCAGTAAAATTTTTCACTAGGCTCAGTGTTTTTTTGGCCAATTTCAGGCTCAAAATGTTCTTATTTTGTTCTAATTTTCAGATACTTTTCAAACATAGAAAATTATTATTGTATAGTAATATATTACTGTACTGTATTATGAAGGGTATTATTACAGTACAGTACATAATCAAACTAACTGAATATGAGGTAAAAATAAGATTTCTTGTATTCTAGTTTAAAAAAAAAAAACTTCATTTTAAATTTTACCTCAGCCTCCATTTGTTCTTAATTTTTAAGCAATTTCTCTGTGTTCTTTTAAAATGTGTTCTTAGAAAGTGTACTGTATTCGACAGCAGTCTACACTATTTTTAAGGCAGTTGCCATTGTTACACTATCCTGAAAACAATTCTTAATTCTGATTGGATGCTTTTATCCTAATCCAGCTCATACTGTAGACAATAATATCCAATCAGAATTAAAAATTGGTTTAAAGACTAGTTACATTAGCTACAGCCTTATTTAAAAAAATTATAATTGATATAATTATCATCTACTGTAGTACATTTTATTTACAAAGTCTATTATAGCACTAGTTACATAACCTAGATTTTAAGTCAAATCGTAATTTCAAAGTTGAAAGCCATTTTAATTGATTTATTCAGAAACTATTAAAAAGCATTTTAGTATAGTAGTAGCTGCTAGTATCATTAATTTTTAAGTCAATTTAACAAATAATATTTCTAACTTTATATTTTATCAAAATGTATTTTACCTGTATTTGAAATGATGCAGTTAAACTTGCCTACTGTAAGTTAATTTCCCCTTGCCTACAGTAACTTAAATAATTTCTTAGTCGATCTTATTTTACATGCCAAATTGTTGTGTTTTCCATTAGTTAAACAATCTGTAAGTAGAATTTTATCGCAAGTCAAATAATTTTTCAATGCCATTTTGGATTCGCCTTAGGCAAGTTCAATTGTATGTAGAAAACATTTATTTTGCTTAGCATGTAAAACGATGTGTAGTAAAAACAAACAAATACTGTACTGTCACTGTTGGTAGACATATAGTATCACTTTCATCTATGAAAAGACCAAATTTGGATAAATATCGTTTTAGGTTTTTGTCAATGCATAACTTTCATAAATGTTTTCCTGTCAACTGAGACTCCTTAAAGCCTGAGGCCCAAGTGTGCTCTTCCGGTACCCCTCCCACGTTGGTACAGAAAAAATAAACTTTAATTTTGTTTGATTATTTACAGATAGAGGGGAAGCAACCGATGTTCACAGTCGCAAATATTGCTGGTGCTGGGGCAGACGCCAATGTCGCTTCGTCTTCTGTCAGCCAAGGTAGAATTCTGATTAAGTATATTCAAAACAACAACATCCATTACTACAAATTTTTATTTTGGATTATTAATAGTTTTTTTTTCAGATTGTTTTCATGTTCATATCAATGTAAGCTTAGATTTTTTTAAATACCTTGTTTAGTGAACCCTCTGACCGCCAATAATGGTGATTTGAAATAAAAATTAAATTTTATTTTTGGCGAGATAACGCACCCTCCCCCACAAAAAATGTAAGTTTCAGAAGAAAACAAAATATTTTCTATTTATTTTTATGACGCCTTGAAATCTCCCAAAATGTCTTGCTTAATTATATAAGATTAAAGCACTATTCATTATCATTACTGCACTGTTTACAGTCATCAATAACATTTTATTTTTATTTTCTACTCTTCCTAGATAAAAAAAAAATGTTATTTTCATTTTTTTTCCCATTTTCTGACAACTTTTAAAAAATAAGTTCACTAAACAAATTATTTAAAAAGTTTCGCCTCTGGTAATATACACTCTGCACTTTTTATGAAAATTTTTGTAATAGTTTGTATATATTATATCAATATAACTACTAATATCAGAGTACTGTACTGCCATTGTGTTTATCATATTTTGCATTCAGGTATTGCTGGCACTGGTCATACATATCCTATGAAACACTATATGCCAACTGGTCAAGCACCTGGACAGGCAGGAGCCATGCCCATTCCAATACCCCATCAGACATTTACCACTATCCTACAGCCAGGTAAGGTCAAAACAAGGTCAATCAAGTAGTCAGTCAATAAAGCAACCAATTAATCTCTCATTAATCTGTCAATCAATTACTCAACTTGTAAATAGCTGAGCAGTTAAGGCAGGGGTGCCACAACCTACAGCCATATCAGCGCTGGTTCGAACGCCTTTGGTTCTGGAGGTGGAACAAGTCTTCTCGGATAATGATTATAAACCGTAGGCCCAGTGCATACAATTGGCTCATGCACTTTAAAAAACCCAGTACAGTACATCTTTCGAGATCAGTAGGGGATTACCCCAGTGTGCTGGTCCATGCAGCCCCTGTTGTGGTCAGAGGAGAGTAGCTGGTACCAGTTGACCGGGTAGCTCAGACACAAAGAGACACTTAGGGGAGAAGAATGGTACTATACAAGCTAGTCCTCGCTTAGAGTGCTTTGAGACTTTGGTGTAAAGTTCTATATAATTCCAACTATTATTATAATAAAATTGTTTTGTATCTATTTTTTCTGTTTAAATCATTTATCTACTAAGATTTGAAATAATTAATAATCAAGATTATTGTATTATTACAACAAAAAAAACTGCTTTTTTTGGAAGAGCGCCCTCATTCAGCTCCAAGATGCAGTATTCACTGAAGGTCATACAGTAAAGCAAAAAACTTATTATCTTTGTCAATGATATAGAAATCCTTGTTTATTGCTTTTCAATCTAAATTCTTGTGTGGATAATGTTTGATCAAAAAAATCAAAACATGGATTGAGGATTTCAGGGAAAGAATTAAGAGACTGGCATTTAATCTAATATGAGATGGTATCTTATGACCCGCGAGAGCCTTCTTAAATCAATCAAATAATCTTGAAATTCCTTATTTGGTATTTCTTACATAGATTGATTTGTTATGTAATTGATATGTGAAGCTATCAGTATTATGTTTTCATACTGTACACCGCATCTACTTCTGCATCTATTATTTTAATATGATGTACTGTAAAGTTTCAAAAAAGTTTAGATTAGTGTTTTGTTGATGCAGAAATATACTAATATTTCAGAAGTATTTTTATTTGTGTTGTTACTATATAAATAATATTTTTACAATATTCCTATATAGATAACAATAAATATTAAAGATGTATTGTGCCCTGAAAATAACCAAAAAAAATCATAAAAAATAATTTTGAAATTAACTTGCTATTTTTGCAGTAATATAGAAATTATTTACTTGATCTTAAGCAATTATTAAATTAAATTAATTGTGTTGTTAGTATATAAATAATATTTTTACAATATTCCTATATAGATAACAATAAATATTAAAGATGTATTGTGCCCTGAAAATAACCCAAAAAAATCATAAAAAATAATTTTGAAATTAACTTGCTATTTTTGCAGTAATATAGAAATTATTTACTTGATCTTAAGCGATTATTAAATTAAAATTGTTTACTCTGATATTTTTTTTACTGGTAATGATTAAATAATAAAAACACTTTCAGTGACTGAAAGTGGTTGTTATTTTTACTTTTCTCTGTAAATTGGTTTAGTAAACATTTCTTAAAAACTCTAATTTCCATATTCAAGCTGATAATTGTTAATTTACTTAAAAAAAACTACCTGGTAATAATTTCAAAAATAATTTTTAATATTTTGTTTTGGTATTTTCTATGAGACAGTACATCTTTAATGAGGAAGCATATTTGTTCAGAACTATTAACATATTATTTTATTATATTTTAATTGAATTTAATTTAATTTTGCTCAGCTGGTACTGCCATTCAATTGGCTGGGTTGTCAGCACTTCAACAACAACAAATCCAGGCACAACAGAATTTACCACTTGGCCAGCAAGCAATTTATCGGTAAGTTTAATAATTCTACAATTAAAATAATATACTATCTTTGAAGTAAAACCTGGAAAAAAAATTTGAAACTTTTAGTTGTTCACTTTATGCCTAGAAGGATCAATCATTTTTTAACAAATTTGAACATTTCTGTTTTCACTAATGTTTACAAATAAAATTCAAACAACTTAAGGGTCTATGAGAAAGACATTCAAAGTAATACCATAATATTTTGTCTTTCAATTTCCTAAGAAAATGTATTTTTGTTTAATTTTTAACTGAATGACTTAATTAGCAATTTAAATATTGAATTTTGTGTGTCAGGTTTATCAACCCATCACAGACAGTTTGTTTAATTGTCCGAATAATTGAGAGACTATATTAGTACTTTATCTTTTATTAGATTAAAATACTGTAACAGCTGTAATAATAATAATAATAATTTAATAATAATAATTCAATAATATTAATCGTAATAATAGTAATGCACTTTACAATGAAAATAAAAATCTGGAATTAAAAAAATATATATAATTAAAGAGAATGCATTTGAGGAGTTGTTTATTGTGTTGTGTTTTTGTTTACGATGGGTCATAAAATGTTTTAAATAAAGAAATTAGGGTAATTAAGATTCAACATTTATTTATTGTCAATTTCTGGCTATTATTTATTGCTTTTGACAGGTACAGTACATTCAATGAAATACATACAGTATTAATGAAAAGGACAAAAAATATTTAACATTGAAAATTGTAATATATTATCAATTTTTATATTTTTTACATAAGATTACCACAGTCGAGTACATCAACATCCAGTAGTGCACAATACCTGACAACAATCTCTGTTCCTCAAGTAACCACAGCAAGTCAGCAGAGTAGCCAGTCGGGTGCAGTCGCAGTTCAAGTACCGCAGAATGGATCTGGTAAGTACTGGTTATTGTACCACAGTCTGGTACAAAGACCAGTTTGCTATTCGCTATGCATGGAAAATGACAAATTTCAAGTAGTTGCTATTTTAAATTATTTCATCTATTAGCTATTTTTCAAATATTATAACCTTAAAAAATAGATTCAGGCTATACAAATTTCATAAATATTTGTTATTTCATAAATTTTTTGCTATTTTAAAAATAATACCATTAATTTTCCTTGCTTTTCCACTCTTGCTGCAAACCTTCTCTTGAACAACTGTAGTTACCAGTACCACAATGGCTTCAACAGTCTCCACACCAGTAATGTACCAAACAGCGCAAGGCTTAGTTTATGCTACACCTAACCAAGTCAATGCACTGCCAGAAGGCTTAATCCTCAACCATGGCCTGGCCCATGCAGTACCAGTAACAAATCCGCAAGGTATATTAGCTGTTATACTAAAACTGATAATATAACATATTTAAGCTTTTATTGTGGCATCTTCAGTTTGGGATACTCGGTAGTATACTAATGCTGTGCCCAGACTGTATCAAATTTTTTTTGACAAAAAACTGTTGTGTTCCTGTATATAGTCATGATCCACCTAAATGAGGCTTGCCATCCGAAAACCAGCGTACTGTTGCTCAATGTAAAAACTGAGTAACTAGCATAGGAATGTGGCAGTATTTAACTGTATATACTTTGGTACAAAGAAGCCATAATACTTCAGTAATAGTCAATTCCAGTAAATGACTCATCATTTTAACCACTTATAATGTGGAGAATATGAATGAATTAAAAAGTCCATTTTCTTGTTTTGGTCACTGATGCTTTTTTTGGCATGGCAAGCTCCATCTATGGTCGTGATGTGATGTCATTATGACCATATTTAGGCATATCACATTTTTTTGTCAAATGAAATTTGATAGGCTGGACAGGGCTGTTTACAGCGAGTTATGAGTGATAATATGATATGTATAAATGTGCTTTATTGTATTACTAATTCATATTGTATTAAAATATTTTTAAATAAAATGCAGCAATTGCAGGATCTTCATTAATCTAAAAGAATTGCATGACTATGAATTGGTAGTACATGCAAGTCTGTAGTAATTACCCACTCACACCATATATGGTCATGATGACATCACATCATGACCATATATAGCCACATCATGACTATATATGAGCATACAAAAGTTTATGTGAAAGAAAATGTGATAGTCTGGTCAAAGCTTTAGAGTTTGTATTTGATGATATAAGTGGTTTATATAAAAAAAATATTTTGCACTCTGGGGTTAGGTAATGCATTAAAAAAAGTGACAGGTTGCAACTAGAGGTGCACAGATATTTCCATCTCTAATTTGATGGGGGTTTTTTTATGGTTCCATTCTCAGGTGTTCAATTGGCAACCATGACAACAGCTGTCAATCAAAGTAGTGGTCAACAAATGCAGGTGGTACCAGTATCAATACCTCAGGTAAACATTTATGAATTGCATTTTACAGTATTAATTGATTACTTACAAAGATAAAATGGAGGTGGATGGCGCAGCGTAGAGGCTCGGACTCTCAACCTTGTGGTTGGGAGTTCAAGCCCTTGCTGTGCGGGTCGTTGCACCCTTAGGCAGGACATGTTTATCTACGTTTGTCCCTCTCTACCCAGGATGGAAAAATGGGTACTGGCATATGCGGGGAAGATAAACAGGTTCACTGTGAGGAGTGGCAACTAGTCAAAGATATTAATAATGTATTTGTAATATATTCTGTTCCTACTCTAGATGTCAGTGGCAGATCCAGGAATCTGAAATGGGGGTCCCAAGAAGGGACTTTCACAGAGGGGGAATAGACAACCTCAGCCCCACCATGGTGTGGGCTGATGAACATTTATGATTGTGCCACCTCTAGATAGCCGGAAATGGCATTCTCAGACTTAAAATTGAAGATAATTTTCTTTTTTTCCATTAAACAAAAAAAAATTCTGAAAACTTTACAAGGGGGTGGGGGTTATTAGATGACCTAATATTAATAACTAACGCTACTCATGCCTAATGTGCTTGTTTATTTGGACTTCACTGATATATTTTTTTTTTCTGTTTGTATAGACACAAGCAAGTTCACCTCCCACAACCACAAATGGACATTCTAGTGCTGAAAAGACACCCGATAAAAGCTCCAAGTAACCACCTACAAACCTGTCAATTTTTTAAAGATAATTTTATCGTAATTGTTTACACAGTTTCCGATTAGAGTATTTATTTGAAATTGATTAAGTTTTTCCAGAGATAAATTGGCCAATTAAGTTTTAACTATCTGTATAATTAATTTTCAGTTTATGTTAAATAAAGCTGGGCACTCGCTGAGCCCAACATCGTCGTGGGACGCAATTCTTTGTAAAACGCAATGGTATGATGCGCATGCTTTAATGAAATCCGTTTAGACTGTCACCGACAATCAGCAGACGGCGTGGTGTTCTCTAGCGTTCACAGGGAGCGGAGTTGGGGTCGTCGTACGACATACCGAGTGCCCGGCTTAAAAAAGTCTATTTTTTAAATTCTTGCGGCTGTCGGCTAATTTTTATTTAAGTTAAGCTCTGCCCAGATTATAAAATTTACTTTGACAAAAACTGTTGTATGCCCATATATAGTCATGATATGCCTATATTTGAGGTCTTGCCACAAAATGAGTCTCATGGTTAGAAATTCAAAAATTGAGTTTATATTATATTTGGGTAGATCACATTATAAGCTTTAATTTGGTCTTTAAATGGCTTCCCTACTATAAGTAAATCCAGAGATGTGAGCATTTAAATTTTAGGTGTATAAGAACCACGTTTTGAGAAAATCGGCCTCAAAGATGTAAACTAACCTGTACAAATAATATGACTAGAATTACAGAATATGTGCAGAGAACACTGTTTTGGCAAGAAAATTCACTTACAAAGTATACAATCATAAAATATAAGTATTAAGTTATTCAAAAACATTAAAATCAAAATTTTGTAAAAATGTTGATTTTGGCCTGTTTTGGTGAATATCTCAATACGATTTCACCAACGATGCGTCTCATTTCATGGCGAGACCTCGAATATATGGTAATGATTTAATGTCATCATGACCGTACGTAGGCATGTCACATGTTTTTGTCAAATAAAATTTAATAGTGTGGACAGGGCCTAATACTGTACTGTATTTAATTGATGTCTTTTGCATCAATATATTGATAAACCTAAGTGAATTTTTTATAATTAAATTAATTCAAAGTTGATTGACTTAAAATGGACCTTCCCAGAAAGCCCTGTCCCTTGGATATTAGCCTTGTTTACATGGCAGGAGATCATCGTGATGATCTCGTTTATCCGTTCATATAGGTATATACGGTGTTAATAATTCTGCATAACTGATCAGTATCCTCGATGATCCATAGAGTTACGTCTGCATCGCAGCAGTGTTAACAAAGATCATCGGAATAATCTTATGCAAATTAGCTGTTGTTGACAAAGGGTTTAAAAACAAGCAGCAGTGCGCACGTTTTTTCAGGTCAGTTTCATATGACTTCCTAGTACATATTATGATTTTTTTCATTGTGTAGGCACTCGACTGGAGATATGGTGTTAAGCCACATTTACACTAGACACGATTACGACACGACGACAACAACGCGATACAAATGCGCGCAGTGTTGAAGAATACAAACTACGCGATGATATGTCTTTGTCGTGTCTAGTGTAAATCTAGCTTAACTTATCCTATAACAAACGGCCGTGTAAACATGGCTAATGTTGTTGAAGTCCCACAAAAACCAACAGCGTAAACGCACATAATCATGTGCGTTCATGAGAAACGCATGTTTGTGAGACAAGCATGTATTTATGGCCATGTTTTGATTGGTCAGTTGTTAATTATTATGATTGGCTGTCCCAAAAATTCCTATTGTATTTTGTAGTCAATTGTTTTATAATTTATGGTTGTGTTATATTACAGCCTGTATTTGCTATTGGAAATTTATAAAATATAAATTATGTAGGTGGTCAAACAAAATAGTATATACAGTAATTATGAAATACTTGATATTGCTTACAATTGATCAAATTCTAGTGCCTTAGATGTTTTACCAAATACAGGGTGAAGCTATATTTGAATGTACAAATGCTATGGGTCTTCTAACAAGTAATGCACTAGTATATACCTTACACACACTTTCTTAGATACTAACTAGGCTTTACAATATATTCTGCTGTTAATTAAGAATGCTGGCTCTGTTTAAAGGGAGCAACTATCTATATAATTTGGGGCAGTTCCAGAAACTGTCCACACCCACCTCAGCCCCACCATGGTTGGAGAAAATTTTAAGAATAGGCCCCTCTAGACGCTCGAAAATGGCACTCTCAGATGGTAAAAATGCTTTTTCAAAGCAGTGTTCCTCGACAAAATTACTGACTTTTTCCTAACGGGAGAAATGGTCCCCCTCCCTTAGACACCCCTCCCCTCACAGGTAACACAGTTATCTAATCATCATACAGTATAGTCTATTCTAGACTGGGATTCACAAAGCAAATTATGATTATAAGGCAGTTCCAGATGCCCAGAAATGGGGAGGGGAGGGCCATGGTGGCCTGTTCTCTCTCTCCCCGCCCCACTTTCCTGGATCTGCCCCTGTAATTGCAAAAAAGTGAATTTTGCATTTATCCCATGATCCCTTACTCTACATTTAGTTGTACTGTACAAAAGAAGCTGAAGTAGTAGGCCTATCAAGTGATTATCAAGTAGGCCCGATCATAACCAAGAGCTGTGAGGCATGGATGCACCCCCTCCCCCTCAACGAATGACAGCAAATGAGTTCTACTGAGTTAAAATACTGAAAATGACCATTGAATTTTCATTGGAAGAGGGATATAGTTCCACATTCTCATTTTTCGCACAACACCAAACACCCCCCCCCCCCCCCCCCCCCCCACACCTAGGCCGAAACCAGCCTATGTAACTGTGAGGCCTCAGCTCTGGCTATGCCCAATTCAGCCTTCAGATATTGTCAGGGGATATTTGTGAAAGATGTTCTTAAAAGGCACTGCTCAGACGATGCGGGGCAAAAAATTATAAATATCCCGGGCTTAAGGTCTGGGACCCCTGGCTTTAGCCACTGAGAGCACAGCCGTTACGCCACTGTACAAGATATTATGTCGGTTTATTTTATAAAGAACTCTGCAGCAGTACTAAAACGTCAATAGAAATCTAACATTAATATATGTGTAGCAGTCATTAGCAGTAATTAATGGACCATTTTGAAGAAAATGTTTAAATATTAATGAGTTAAATAAGGAAGTTTTATGTATAGAAAGGTGAACGTGTCCAAATTAAACTAAGTTTAGAATTTGTAAATAATGTAAATACGGTAGAATGTGTTTCAAAATAGCTTAACCTTTACAGCAGTGCATTTTTATTTTTTTATTGAACTAATGTTTATGTATAATAGTGTAATTATACATTATGTATGTATGTATCTACTGCATGTATACATATATACAAAATTATTTATTATATAAGTTAAACTTTAGTTTTCCAATGCATTGAGTGGAATTGATATTACTGTAACAATACCTGGAAATAGTGTTTCAGCCAAATAGCGCCCTCTCATGGGTATATAATGCATATATTGTGGTTTATTACTGTACTTTCTATGTACTATTGTGATAATTTTAATCAACTGTCACTTCAGAATTATAAACTGAAAAATAATCTAATATGAAAATAAAATCAGTAAAGTTAATACTTTGTAGTAATCTGTTATTTTCTTGTCCAACAAAGAAAGATGTTCTAATCTAAAAAAACTGACCCAGGTTAAGACCAACAACAATAAAATACACACAGAATAATATAATCTTGATATTCTTTTTAGGTCCTATGCATACAATGCAATAGGGACTCTTGCAATCACATTTTGCGTGCGTGTGTGGACATTTAGAGTGAAATTGCGCATGCGTCAGAAAAAGTTCTCCAACATTTTCTTTTTACCTCGCGACGTGAAGTAAAGAAAGTGTATGAAACAAAGCTTTACTAACACTGCTTCATATTTAAAATTTTCTGCTACTTAGATAGCAATATTAGCCAGACTTCCTCTGAAGGCTTCAAGAGTGGGGACTTGATAGTGTGTTCAAAATAAATTCTAGGCAAGAAATGCATGTTAGTAAACACTAACTAGTAAAGTTGTTGATGAAATGATAAATCTTTCAATTTTTCAATTCAACGCAACATTTATTTCTCTTTTTTCATATATGTACTGCTTTAAAAAGGAAAATATTAATTTCAGAAGAGAGGCAAAAAGCAAAAGCTTGTGAAGGGCTGCCTGAAAAAAAAAAAAAAAGACCTCTAGTGCAGGTGGTTAGTGAAATAAGGTAGGAATGCGGTGGAATATCAACTAGTGAGTGAAGTATACTTTCGTCATAGGCATACAAACCCAATCAAAAGCTCCTTTATATACTTTCAATGAAAATACACTTAACTTTTTACGTAATTTTTCCTATTATATCGTTTCTATATCATAAAACCCGACACAACCCATACTCTAAAATATAGATAATAAACTTTGAAATATAATTTTAAAAATTGCAAGTGACTTACGCAGTCCAGCTTAAAACCACATTCAGAAGAAAGTTAATATGTCACTTCCGATTAGAGATAAGTAAAGCCGTTAATAAACGCTAACAGTTAACGTAAACGTACAACTATGAATGATTGTGCCAGGATTGCGAGATCCTGCAAACAACAATAATCGTTTTTAGTGTCATAATTTACAGATCAATTTTCTTGATTAGGAATTACCATTAGTCCCCAATTGGTTGTCTCGTGTATATGCAAAAATACTGTAAGCGATTTTAAACAGGGAATTGTTTCTATCCGCAATAGCACATACAAGTTTGTAGTGGTTTGTAGTAGGCCTACTACACAGCAACTTACTATCCAAACTAATAATTTGTAGGGAAAATAAATTTACCTGATTACGGAATACATAACCAATTGTAAAAAAATAGACACAATTTCATGTACTTGAACATAACTACGCTAATAACTTTTCTTACGTTCTCTTTCAAACCGTTAGTTTTAGTTTTATCGTTTGATCACGAAGTCCACTGTATGGTGCAGGTGTGTATGGTGCAGGTGGTGGTAAAGAATAAGTTTTGATGTAAGCAGAAGCCTCGTGGTTTGATTGGTTACTCGTTTCAGCGATAGGTGGCGCTGCGCAAATGTAACATAATATGTCAATAGAGTTCCTATAGTTCTCTAATAGGAACTCTACTAAAAGCAGTTTATGAGAATCATTTCATATGATTCTCATAAACAGATCAGATTGAGATTTTTATTGGGAAAACTGCCGGCAAGGGGTCCAACATGTCCTACGGAGGGTCCAAATCAAGGGGCTGACTAGAGCCTCGGTCGACGGCCCGGAATAAACAATGCCTGGTAGGTTTCACGGGGAGAGTTTTTTTTATGGCTTTATGGTCCAAATTGTGATTTTAGATCACAATATTAGGGATTAGCAATCAAAATAACGTTATTTGAATAGGTAAATTAGTCGCAGGCAGCGGTGGCGCCAGAAATTTGCCGGCAAGAGGTCCAACATGTCCAATGGAGGGGTCCAAATCAAGGGGCCAACTAAAAACTGGTAGGTTTCACGGGGGAAGTTTTTATGGCTTAGCTTGGTTCAAATTGTGCTTTAGACCACAATTATTAGGGATTAGCAATCAAAATGACGTTACTTGGATAGGTAAACTATTTGTTTAAATTTTTTATCCGACGACCTAATCGTGGAGTCTAATGACAGGGGGTTCCGGACCTGTCCGACAGGAGGGCACCACCACTGGTCACAGGGCAACATATGCGTAGCTTTAGGGTCGAGCGGAGTTGTTGAAAAAATCTTGTGCTTTTACCATGACAGGAATTGAACCCAGGGCCCTGGGATTAGAAGGTAAGCATCTTAACCACCAAACTCCACTTCTTTAATTGGAACTAGAATATTGGAGGACAATCTTCATCCCCCACCCCCTCACCCCTTTCTCCACATGTATCCTAGATATGCCACTGACCTCTTGTGCTTTTACCCACCGCGATGAATAGGACTACCGAGAGTCGCTGCTTTAGTTGAACTGAATGAACCGAAAAATATGCCACTTTTTTTAAGTAAGAAAATAGAATCAGAAAAGTCAAACTTTGTAGTAAAATATCTTTTATTCTCTTGTCCAACAAAGAAAGATGTTAACTAAATCTCTAAAATTCCCAAGTCTGCCTTCAAAAAATCTTAAAATGCAGTGTAATAAAATAAAATTGCTTTTTTTCTCCCTGTAGAAACGGGTACAGTTCGCAAAAAAGCGATTAAAAAAAAATCGATTAAAAACATGTAAAGGATAGCTGCAACACAAAAAGCGATTATCAGGTGAAATGTGACCTCCAGGTTAAACCACTGCAAAGCGAGATTGTATCACGCGTGAACTTTCAAAATGATTATTCCTTTTGTTCATGTCCTAATCCTACAAGCTAAAACTGCACACTCATTAAAAAAGCGGTTATTTTGTGTTTATCAGTAGAAACATGCCCTATGAGAAGGTTCTGTGGTACGGGGTGTCCCCATACCTGGAAGCTTCGGAGCCAATTCAATCTTGTATCTAAATGATTTCACACAGCAATTTTCTGGCTGCTGCTGGGGGTAATTTCCCCTTTTGTCATCCCCTGGATCTGTCACTTTGACCTAGTTTAAACTTGAGGGTGATTTTTCATTACCGTCTCACAATTTATCAACAAACTGAAATTACATTACTATTATTCTCATTACTCGAGTAGAAGTACTGTAATAAGGAATACCTGTTGATAATAATACCAATAATATTAAATACCATTCACACATAAACACTATCATTATTATGTAAGACATTACTGTGTCCTGTGTCAGAATAAATATATAACTAATAAAGTAACATAATTTTGATATTCTTTTCTTATATTTATGACACCTGCATGTTTAGATCAAGAACTTAAAGATTCTAGTATTAGAGAGATTTACTTTTAAAAAATACTTCAAACCAAAGTACTGTACAAAATACTCAAAATATATGAAAGACTATATTACAGAAAATTGCTATACTGTATGGTATAAGACAGTTAAGTTTTATAGTGTACATAATTGCATATAAAAATAATAAAATAATAGCAAAAATTTTATGTTGGTTTATAAAATTTCATATATAAATAATGAAATAATAGCGAAGATTTTATGTTGGTGCATATAATTGCATATATAAATAATAAAATAATAGCAAAAATTTTATGTTGGTGCTGGTGCATATAATTGCATATATAAATAATAAAATGATAGCAAAGATTTTATGTTGGCCTTATGCAGGATTTATTTTACTGTTGATTCTCTTATTTTACTGTTGATTTTCACTTTTTTAAAGCTTGTCAAGACTACCAAATTCTACTTGACAAAAACATGTGACATGTCTAAATATGGTCATGGTGACATCACATCATGACCATATATAGGCACATCATGACTATAAATGGGCATACAGCAGTTTTTGTTTTTGTTATGTATGTATTTTCTAGAAAACTTCTTTCTTTCTCATTTGATGTAACATAGTCCACACTGTCAAATTCTATTTGACAAAAACATGTGACATGCCTAAATATGGTCATGATGACATCATATCATGACCATATATAGCCACATCATGACTATATATGGGCATACAACAGTCTGTTAAATGAAATTTGATAGTCTGGACAGGGCTTAAGTGCACGCCCACCCATATCAACAATAAACATTCCAACAAACAAAACTATAAAACATTTGCTATCATTTTAATGTCATTGTGGAATTATGGAGTTGGAAGGAAGGCTCTGAAAAAGGAGGACACAAACCAATATTTGCAACAGTTACCAAAAAAAAAAAAAGATATTTTTGAATAAATAAATAAATACAACTAAACATAACTTTATGAAAGCCCATGACAGTAACTTATGTATGGAGTTGCAACTCAACTGGTGATATATAATGGTAATACATTTTTGAGAAAAATGTATTGTCCCATTTGGAATTAAAACCCCAGACCTTCTAATTACCGTTCAGACACCCTACCAACTGAGCTATGAGGCCAAGTGGTATACACCCTTGGATATTTCCATTTGGACATGTTTTTTTTTTCTTCTCAGGTATTGCATAATATGCAATGAATCTTATAACTTTATGCCTATTTCTGATGTAATTTCAGCATGGTGCTATTGGTAGTTCAAATGGAATTAGACATCTAAGCGCATATACTCAGCTACAAATGCTTGTACAATTTTCTGTAAGTTCATAATGGTTGGATAATGCAAGTTACTTTCGTCGTCCGTAAGTTTATGCCAATGATTTGGAAATGGTACAGGAATCAGATGTAGGATTTTAACGCCTGAAGTAAAGACAAAGAAAAATAAGATTTCAACAATTAAGAAAATAATGAAATTTGAAAAATTGTTTGATACATTCACAATATGCATTTTAATTACGATCATTAAATCATTTACTAAAAAATATATCATAACAATGATAGATGTGATAATAAGTACATACTGTAATTATATTTAACTATCCCTCAAACTATGAACTAATTTTTTTCATCTAAAGGTCTGCGAAAGCATACACAAACACTTATTTGACGCCGTAGGGTGTGTATTTATATATTCACTTATGTGTCCTTTTTCAATATATCAAAAAAGATATGTCTATTTTTAGGTGTAATTTTGCCCTACTTGACGTGGAAATGTACCGAATACTCAGTACATTTGAAAACAACTGCGAAAAAAATCGCAAGTTGTTCTCGGGTGGGACTCAAAAATCCAGTTATTGTCTATTATTCCATCATGACAAAACATGTCTATTTTTGTTAGGGTAGTAAAAGACTCTGTGAGGCTTTGACTTAGTTGTACGTCCTCCAACTTAATTTGTAGTGTTTTTTTTTTGTTTGTTTGATGGAAAATAAAGATTGATTGATTGATTTTATTCTTCTAATTTTTCCAGCTTGTAATCAGTGTATTGCCCAGGTATTGGCCATTCAAACATACCAAGTACCCATTGATACTCTGAGATGGAGCACGGAGGTTATATCTCCATGGATGCAGCAAGACAACATATACAAAGTGCCATGTTCAAGAACAAGTGGTCAAGTCCTGTCGAGATTATAGATTATTTGACAAAAACATGTGATCCTTAATACGGTCATGATGACATCATTTTATGACCATATATAGACACATCATGACTATATATGGCCGTACAATATTTTGTCAAAAAAAATTTCATAGTGGGCACAGATCTTTTAAATGTGAAACCTCAATCTTCCAATTAAAAACATAAATATGAACCCCCACACTTTAAAAAAAAAATGTTATTTACATCAAAATCACAACAAAGGCTGATTATCACGTCACATTTTCTGATTAAAATTTTTATTTTGTTTTATTTTAAAGTCTGGTCAGGGCTTACAAACAAAATTCAGAATATCAATAACATTGTGAAAACATTTGTTAACTTACAGAGAAATCAAGCGACTTTGATGCAATATATGAATGAAGGTTCTCCGCCAAGTGAATAAGCATAGCACATGGTACTGCAGAGTCTGTCGCCCCCACAAACATTTTACCAGTAGTATCCGGTTCCATATATTTACTATCATGGTGACACGCTAATACCAGTCGACGAGGGGCATTGATGTTGTGCGTTGCTATAATATTGGTGAAATTAGTCTCTCGAAATGGATGTGGAGCTGTGTCTGTAAATGAATGAGATTCTATATGCCACCCAGGTAAGCTCTGTAATCGACCTATAATATGCTTTAAAAAAAATAAGAGAAAAAATACAAAATTTAGCATCTTTTTTATTATTTTATATGAGTTTGGGCAAACAATACAAAGAAACAACTAAGCCTTTGTTCATTTTATTTTGACAAAAAACTGTTGCATGCCCATATATAGTCATGATGTGCCTATATATGGTGATGATGTGAGGTCACCATGACCATATTTAGACATGCCACATGTATTTTTCATGTGTACTTGACTTAGAGTAGAAAGAGAGAAATGTGATCTACCTCTTTTACAACAAAACCCTTTGTAATTTCCACCATGAGTAATTAATTCATTACAACACCTTGCATACATGATTAAAATGTGTTAATTATACTTTTACAACATATTGTTAGTATGTAGCTAGCAGTCCTATAAAAAACTTTATTGGTTTTACCAACATCACTTATTAAATCAGTGGTATGAAATGGCACTGGCTTAAGTCAGGGCCCAGACCTTAGAGAGCCATTGGATATTCATCATATTTTTCCCACATCAAAATATGTCCTTAAAGATGTATTGTCCCATGCTAAATATAAAAAAAAAATCATAAAAATATTTTTTGAAATTAACTTGCTCATTTTGAAGTAGCATAAAAGTTATCAACTTGAACATAGAAATTAGTTTACAGCGAAAAATGATAGAAACACTTTCAGTCACTGGAAGTGTGTTATTATTTTTATTATAATTTGTTGGTTTAAAAATCAGGGTACACATTTTTTTAATTTAATAATTTCTATGCACAAGTTAATAATTTGTATGTTATTGCAAAATGAACAAGTTTATTTCAAACTTATTTTTTATGATTCTTTGACATTAGCAAATGAAAATTCATCTTTAAAACATCTAAAATGACAAAACGGGCTGGGCTTTGCCTCATACCCAACACTACCCCCAGGGTAGTAGGGCCTGGAGAAGCCTTAGACAGAAGCCTCAAGGCTCTTTCTCATGCCATAGTTCTTAATGCTTCCATAAACGATTGTAGCTTACATTTCTCACAGCTTCATTGCCCGGTGTTCCTGCAACTCGTGGGACAAGAATTGGAGTAAGGATTGCCTTCAATTCTGTTAAATTTGCCATGTCTGCTACTCTTTTGAGTCTCGAATTTGATAGATTCTTTGGCCTGTGTATTTCCTGGAAAGAAATTAACACCATAAACGTTTCAATAGTAAACTGAAGTGTTTAGATACATTCTCTATCTTGCGATCCACCTCCTTGTCTGGTAAATTATGCAACAGGTACAATACTAGCAACAATAATTGCACCAAAACCTGTAGCATAAAATTATTTACTATTTGGTCCATATTACAGTCTAAGTGTACTGTGCAAATTTAATTGCATTCAAGTCAAATAGATGGCTTATTCTCTACATATTTAATATTAATAATAAGTGAAATAGTGTTTGAAGGTACAGTAATAAGTGACATGTATAAAGTGCTCTACACCAACAAACCGACCAGAATGCATGCAATCAATCATATCAATACAATACGGTTAACATAACATAATTAGCAGAAATTCATACACAATGTACAAAACATAGTCTAGAAAACATTTACAAAATTTATCATTCAATATAAAATAAATAATTCACCAAAAATAAGTCCAATTACAATTAACAACAATTGCTTACAATTAATTAATTTAATCTACAGTATTTACATCAATCATTTCAAAATATAGTATATGGGAGGGGTTATTAATCAGACAATATAGAAAAGACAATTATTAACAATATTAATTTAAAAAAATTAAAATACAGAGAAAAATTTGACAAAAAAAAAATTTAGTAAAAAAGTATATAAGTTACATCATTATCTGATAATTAATCATTTATAGTACTATTGAAAAATATATCATACTGTAGTTTTATAGAGTATTTATATTTTATTTAAAACTGATTGGAAAAAAAACAGCATTTTTATTACAATAATAAAATAAAAATTAAAAATTTTATTTCAAATCGGCCTCGAAATTTATATCAACTGATATGACAGTAAACAAACTAAAGCTTAGTTCTCTCAGAATCCTCTTTGTTCCTATCTCATAATAATCCACACTTTCGCTGCTCTTAATCATATTCTTCCTGTAGATACAGTATTACAGTACGATTATCACCATGGTAACAGGAAATAAAATAAAAGACTAGGAACTTAGCTAATTTTTAATACCATAAATGCCATGTTTCAGTTGATTAATAATTTACTTATTAAAAGGTCACATAAAAATGTCATAAAAAGTGTAAAAATTCAATATATTAAAGTGTATGTTCCTATTTTGCATGACGTAAATGTCTCATGGGCTTACAGTGATGAATAGGATGTTACAATTAGGTTCAAAGTAAATCAAGGAAATTGCTATGACATAAAGTGCAAGTCAACAGAGGTGAATACTTGAAGCAAGGACCTATGAATTACATTTAAGTACATACAGTACAGTACACTCACAGTTACTACTAGTAATTTTTCTTTATGTACTTAAATGCAATAATATGTTACTGCATATATGTCTAGATAATTTGTACTTTTAATCAATTGAGTGATATTGAACTTCCTAATATGTTCTAATTTAATCAGATTTAAGTTAACAACTGCTCTGAATAAATGGAAAAGATATTTAATATTTCTAATTATTACAGAAAGTAAAACATATATTGGCGAAACTCAAATTGGGCCTATATTCAACCATTTAACTAAAAGTTATTTAAATACTTAAATACGTAAATTTTAAAGTTAAATACCATACTTAACACAATCAACCATCACTGTTGGTAATAATGTTCATGAACAATAATAAATAAGTATTTACTGGTGCCCTGCTTGTGAAATCTTCCGACATGATTAAATTAAAATAAGTTAAATTATACTTATGTTCAACACCCCAAAAAAACAGCAATATAATAACAAACTACTTAGCTTGGCTCACTAGGCCTAGGCTAGCTAGACAAAGCAAAACCTAAACATTTTAAATGAAAGGTTTTTAGGATGTGGTCTTGACAGGGAGTTAGTGAAACAAGTCAACCCTATAATCGCAATTGTTATGGTAATATATAGCAGAAAGCCTGATTTTACCTGATTGAGAACCCAATTATTAGTAATTGCTCCATCCTCATTCGTATTAGTGGTAGGTCCTACATTATTATTCACAGGAACACTTTTGTCTTTAGAAGAATCCTTTCTAAAATAAAAGACATATGCCAGAAGAATTGCTTTAAACAACTGCATGCTTAAAACACTATTATTAACTCCTATCAAGAAGACTCGCTCAATCGCTCCTAGTCAACATGACACTTTCTACAGGCGTAAACTACTGACTGAATAGATTCCTGTTTTCTATTGACTGACATGACTCACTGTTTAGGTGTCAAAGTTCATGAATGCAGCTATAGATGGCGCTATTGCTGTATGGAGAGACTACAGTTACTTACTTTACACACAAGTCAACAGCTAATTTACTGTGTCGTGTTTATGACACACTAGTTATTATGAGAAATAATCAGGAAAAATATAATGGAAGAATATAAACCTTGATACATAATAAATAATACTTATAAATAATTATGATAGATTATTACCTAAAATCATGAAATAAGAAATCATACATGTTCACACTTCCAGAGATGCCAATGCCAATTTTGTCAATTAGCTGGGAGTGAGAACAATCAAACAAGCGAAGTGACTGGGGGGTGGGGAAGAAGGGTTTGTGAAATCTTCAGATACAATAGATAAATTTTTCATTTTTGGGCTTTATTGTGCAAATTGGTGCATACCTATAATACAATTTTACTTGCAGAATTCTTATAAAAGTAATGCAAACTCCAAGAAATGAGATTGGATTTGATTTCTTTGGTGTAAACACCAAGGATAGCTCACGAAAGTCTAGAAGAAGACTTATTTCCAGTGGGGTCCTTCAGGTGGTGATTGCCTTGTACACTGAGAAACAATCCCCTACTCTTTTCCGAAGAGTGTACTGCGTTCTTTAACGTCCACAAAGGCCGTAAATGTGCAGGACCAACGGCTTACCCGAAAGACGGTGCACTATTGTAACTTGTATTTCAGCCCTCCAGCTAAAACACAAGGAGAGGCAGCAATGGGAATTGAACCGGGGACCTAGAGATCTCCAGGGTTCAGCGCACACGCAGTGGTTACCACCAGATTAGCCGACTGAGCTAAGCTGCTCTCGAGATAGGCCTACATGACATTGTGCTTTTATTAAATATTTCAACATGTTTATTATTTCATCTTCAGGAATAAATGAAATTGTTAAGGGATAGAGTTAACCTTACTCCTGTGATGTTGATGAGTGGCTTTGTTATAAGCCAAGGTGAGCTTTTTTGCAGATTTGAATACATCTTTAGCTCAAATGCATGAACTGGCTCCTCCTGTGCCAATTTGATGGTCAGAATACTTGACAAATTTCACTTTGGATCTAAATTTGTGCGAAAGACAGTTTTGTTTTTCTCGCTCCTCTTGGACATTAGAATGAGGTATTACAAATAACAGGCTTGCGACTTTACATAATCCAATCATTGATTTTCTAATGAGATAGCTCCCTGTGAATTTTTTTTTGCTTTGTTTTTTTTGTTTTTTTTGGCCTCATTGACGACTGGCGTGAGAAACTGATTGTTGAGTGGGTGAGCGTGAGAAGGCGCTGTAGGTGCGAGACTTGGTAGGTCTGCACTACCTGTATTCAATTTTCAATAGACCTATTTATTATATTATTAAATGCAGGCCTAACAGTTCTGGACTGAAGCATAGGTCTAAATCCACATCCACATTTACCCATTAATTTACCCATTAAGAAGAATCTGGTTCCTAATAATTATCTTCATCCATGGACCTGGGTCGACATAAAACATCACTGTATATATACTGTACATACCCTAGATAAAGCTGTTTAAGGATTTTATCCATAATCCTTTACATAAAAGCATTTATGAACTTGGTACTTAAATGCGAATTCAATATGGTCCAGTACAACAAGAGTGTTTCGATAAATGTTAAAAAATGTTGTACCAAAACATGAATTGATGAGAATAACAAGCGTTTGGATGAGAATTCAGGAACTTCTTTAATCCTAACCAGCCCCCATAGGCCTAGTATTAACCTCCTCTGATGACAGCAGTGAGGAAGCTTACCATCACTCACATACAGCGGACAATACAAGAAACCAATTACGGAAGTTTTCAAAAAGAATGTCAAGGACAAAAATGAACAATTATTATCATATGGAATAAATATGCTAAGAAGTGTACTGTAGAACTATTATGCTATAAAAATAAAATTTGAAATTAACTTGTTCATTTTGAAGTTGAACATTCAAATTAGTTTTACCCATAATGGGAGAGATCTATGACAGTAAACTTGTTTTTGGCTCCGACTAGGAGCTCTAGAAACACTCAGTTGATTAATAGATTTTTTCGGCTGATCGATCAATAGATGTTTTCGACTGATTGATTAATAGATCTTTTTTGTATGGGCCGACGTTAGGGCCAATATACTCTACTGCTTCTATTATAGCGCCCTCATCGGAGCTTTTGAGTTTATGAAAACTCTACCTTTGAGCAATCCAGCCAAGTTTTAAAGACTTTTTAAACTCTTTTTTAAGCGCTTGCATTTCTCTCTTGTTCTCCTGTATGTCATTGTATTCCAAGTTTTTATCAACGAAATAAGTTATATGATATACTGTATTATGATGTAGAAACACTTCTAGTCAGTGTTTCATTATTTTATCATTATCCAGTATAAAAATCAGGGTACACATTCTTTCAAACTTCTATGCTCAAGATAACAATTTGTATGTCACTGCAAAATGAGCAAGTTAATTTCAAAATTATTGTTTATAATTTTTTATTTTTTTATTTTCAGGAGACAATACAATGCTTACTGTAATTTTAAAGTAGTATTTTGTTAATGTAAATTTTTACTTTAACAATAAAATTCCTTATTTTGGTTTCTAATACCGTATATAAAATCAGCTGTCAATTGAAAATATTTCTCACAAACAATTATCATGCATATGTGACCGGCCAGGCAATTTCTAAATTCTTGCAAGCTCCTGAAACATTTGAGAATCAGAATTTTGAACATTTTCTTTTTTTTTTTGCATTATAAAAGAAGATACATATTGAAGAACATTTCTGCAAAATACCAAACATTAAATCTAACTGAGAAGTATATTTAAATTATTTTTGAAATAATAAACTACTGATTTAGGAATCTTTGGAAGCTGTTTTCTCACAACCTACATGGCTGATATCCGCTAATACTCAACAAATTTCCAGTAAAAAAATTATTTAAACAATTAAAATTTAAATTATTAAATAAATTTCCATTAAAAAAATTATTACAAAAATTAAAATTTAAATTATTATTTCAGAATCTAAAAATACCAAACACTCAATTTTGAATTTTTCGTACAAACAGCTGGTTTTTCCAGCATGGTTTTCCACATATTATATGCATTTATTATATTTACATAGACATTGCTATATGGATATGGAAAAATGGTGGGTGTTAATTTTTAATTCCAGAGCTAGTACTTAATATATATTTAAATTATTTTTGAAATACAAATCTTAATAATAAACTACTGATTTAGGAATCTTTGGAAGCTGTTTTCTCACAACAAAAATTATTTTAAAAATTAAAATTTAAATTATTAAACAAATTTCCATTACAAAAAAATTATTAAAAAAATTTTACCAGATCCGGTCACACATATTATATGCATTTATTCTATTTACATAGACATTGTTATACGGATATTGTTGTAATAATGCATCAAAAATGGTGGATGTTAATTTTGAATCCAGAGCTACAGTAGCACATAATGGTTAAAATGATTATTTTCAACTCCAAGGTTGTAAATCATGCACAAGACGCCAGGATTTTGACAAACCCCACTCCCATTAAGACTTAGTTATACCATCCTGTAATTGGCAAATGTACTTGCTATTTGATTTGAAAAAAAAAGACAACTAAAAAATCATTTCATCGCAAATTAACTTGCATTAACATTTTGCAGTAACATACAAATTATTCTTAAAGCATAGAAATCTTTGAAGTTAAACAAAATATTTACCCTGGTTTTAAGCAAGATGATTTAAATAAAAATAATAAAACACTTTCAGTGACTGGAAGTGTTTCTATAATTTTTCGCTGTAAAATACAATTACTGCATGGGTAAACATTTTTTTAAATACACTAATTTCTAGATTCAAGTTAATAATTTTAATGTTAATTCAAAATGAGCAAGTTGGTTTAAAAAATGATTTTTATGACTTTTTTGGTATTTTGTATTCTTGCAAAATAAAATTTTAAACTAGTGATCATTTAAAATTTTATCTAGTAGAAGTCTTTCATTTCACTATTGCTTGGTTTGGTTTTTAGGATGGGTTACATGCATGGAATTGTGGGATAGCAAGCAACTGAAAGAACACTGGGATAAAATGATCTTCCAGCATCCTAATGATCCAATGTTATGGAATGCTTACTTGATGTTTATGCAGTCACGGTTTTCAACATTTTCATTCACTAAGATTTTGTCTGTTTATGGCAAGTGTATTGGAAAGCTGGCTTCAATAATGGAAGGCCAAGTAGCTACACATAAACCTGTACCAAACACAGAAAGCTGTCTCTTATACACATCTATCTAGGGAAGTATAAGTACAGAAAGACAGAAAAAAGGAATGAAATAAGGACAAGAAAAGAAATAAAAGAAATAAAAATAAATTAAATAGATGAAACTCAGAATTGCTGTATTTTTCAAATGAATCATAATAAAAATCAATAATATTTAGTACTCTAGCTATATATTTTTTTATTTATTAGGTAAGTCATTTAATGATTTATTGCACTTTTACTCATTATTATTAGAAAAGAATTGCTGCTCTAAATTAATGTGAAATTGTTAGTAATTTACAGAAATATAATTGTTACTTATACTGTATATGACTGTGTAGTCGGTGGCTTGTTGTTGTCTTACAGAACATAGCTTTTGATTTGGAATGTTTCCTGTTATTACATTTCTTGATATCATTTATATACTTGCATATAAAGCCATCCGTCGTATGAGAAAACCCACAAGTTTGAGAAGATATTTGGACGATTTTGATGTTGGGCTGGGCGTACTATGTATGACGAGCATATAAGATGGCCCCCTGTCGGAATTCATACGTTTTGCTTCTGCTTACACTCTTAATACTTTATCTAGCTGGCTAAAAATTGAACTAATAAATGTAGGGCTAATCTTCCATACAATACCATCTTTATGGGCATCAAAATATTATTTCCCTGCATTTTATATTGCGTTCATTAAAACTTACAGTTAGTAGCTTCATCTCAGTAGTAAATGTTACGAACGATCCACAAGTGAGACGAACATGATTTGGAAATAAAAAAAGTTAAAGACGACCCCCTGTTTTTGGGTCATAATTTGCTATTTGAAGCCTCGTCTTATACACAAGAATATATGGTATTTTATCAGGCCACCCTCTCACTAAATCATGACAAGCCCTCCCACTTGACCTTCGCACCCAACGTTTTACACCCCCCCCCCCATTTCAAGACTCCTACAGTAGATAGGCCACTGCTGGCAGGTGTTACTATATAAATTATAATGGATAAGTAATGGACTAATTTTAGGTAATTAATCCATTATGTGTATTGTATACTATAAATTGGTTTATGAGTTTTATTGTATGCTCAAATTGTTATGATGTTTCCTTCTAGGCAATGCAACTTGGCTAAAAAATGAAAGTTTTCCTGAAAAATTGACCTCTGGGAGTGGAGAATTGTCAAAGACTGCTACAAGCCAGCTACTGACAAACCCTTCTGATGTATTTCAAGCTGGTCAACAAAATAAGAACAAAGATAGACATTATAAAAAGGAAAGGCATGCTAGTTCATTAGAAGAAGAGGGTGTATCTCATCGACACTTACGGAAAAAGGAACACAAGCGATCAAAACATAGAGAGAAGAGAGCTGATAAGAAAAGTATAAAATATAGACATGATGATAGCTCAGATAGTGAATGGAAAAGGACAACAGACTCTTCATATCAGAGACATAAACACTTATCTAAACAAGACCCCAGCACAAAAACTAAGTCCTCTAAAATTAATGAAAAGGGAGAGACAAGGTGAGAATGTATTTCCAGGGGTCCCAAGCCTCTTGCAGGTCTTATGAGTTTCCCGGAAATGGGGGAGGACTCCTGCAAGGAAGCAAGAATCTCTTGGAAAATATCCAATCTCCCACAAATTCATGATATTTGCATGTTTTTACTGTATTATAAATGTTTTATTGTATTATCAGTTGTCACCTGGAAGTTAGTGCCAATAGGTCACCTTGGTATCACAGTACACAGCAAAATATAATTAGATACTGTATTCAGAAAGCTTATTTAAATGGATCTCCCGGATTTGAATTTCTTCCAAATTGGGACCCCTGTATTTCTTTATATTACATCCTGATAATTAAACCTATTCTTTTTTCTAATTTATCTACTGTACAGTATATTAAGGATTCTGTTAGATTTTTATATTATTTTAAGAAATAATAATATAAATATTTTACATAGTTGAAATGTGTAATATGCAATTATTTTATACTGTATGAAAAGATTTATAGAATTATTTTTTAAAATATTAGAAAAAAATGATTTCAGTTATGTAATGATCTAAAATGTGAAATAATGTATGTATATTATTAATGTTCTTTTGTAGAAAATTAAGTAAATTTGTATTAGGCCCATGGGCAGTGTAGGTTTAAATGGGCCCATCGGACAGGCTTGGGCCTCCCCCACCATTAACGCTTAATGTCATGACAAGGTCATCGGACCAGAAATATGAACTTATTACTCAACAAAGTGTCTTGACCAAAGACACAAACAAGTAAGTCACTGCTGGTCTCAAACTACAATTCTCCCTCTAATTAAAGACACCTCCAATTAAAGACCACCTCCAATTAATTCCACTTCTCTATGGCCCCGAATGAACAACTATCCAAGACCAAGAGCGGATTGCTATAAGCGGTCTTTAGACAGTCTTAATGGTTAGCCGGCTATCATCCATGCATGTCGTCGCCCCCAATCTTACGTTACCAGGGAGTTGCAATGGTCTTAGAGGAATGACTTTAGTAAGACCGTCTAAGTGATAAAGCTGGCTTTATTCAAGAAGTTAAGACTACCAGTTAAAACCGTTTTATAGCAATCCGCCCCAAAGCTGCTAAAAGACCATAAAAAGCTTGGTCTGTAAAGTAGTCTCTTATTGGATGGAGACCTATAGTTCCATTTCGCATTGAAGTCCAATGAGGTAACTTTCCCCCTTGCCTGTTTCTGTTTTTACAGTTTGAAACTTGGTATGACAGGTAAATCAGTTTGGATAGAGGATCTTGGACCAAAGGCTCTTGATGTTTGTTGCATAGATACAAAGCGTGATCAAAACAACCTGTGTTTCGATTCGGTACATTTCTCTGATGCTGCATTCTATAAAAGACTTGGATCTTCCTGTCTTGGACTTAGTAACAAGCAAGAGATCAGCTGGCACACTGGTAAAGATGCTAAGAAGTTTAAGAAACAGATGACTGATAGAGGACGGTATTACTCTAAAGAATCTCTAAAAGAGTGGAGGAAAGAAGAGGATATAGTTGATTTATCGAGGGCAGCAACCAGCCATGTTAAGTTGAGCGATATTGCTTATATTCCATTAGATTTTAATGTAGATGTGAAATCAGATTCAAGTTTTGAAACTGCTTTTAATTCAAATGAAGTCGATCCATTGAACATTCATGACGTAGCTACTCAACATTACCTGTTCGGTCAAACACCTCACTCTCAAGTCACTTCTAATGAGGTAGAGGGTAAATCAATGCAGGAGAGTGGGAATCATTGGGATGGTTATGTAACAAAACAAACTGCTGATTATAACAAAAAATTACGAGAAAATCCAAATGACATCAAACTTTGGATGAGGTTTGTCAAGTTTCAGGATGAAATAGCATCACATGGTCACAGCATCTACTTCAGCGAAGAATCCGACGATAAACGAAAAAAACTTAGCAGACTTGTGACAGAAAAAAAAATTGCAATCTTGGAGCGAGCGATTGCAACGAATCCATCATCATTAGAACTGAAGCTGGAACATGTGGAACTTTGCATGGAATTGTGGGATAGCAAGCAACTGAAAGAACACTGGGATAAAATGATCTTCCAGCATCCTAATGATCCAATGTTATGGAATGCTTACTTGATGTTTATGCAGTCACGGTTTTCAACATTTTCATTCACTAAGATTTTGTCTGTTTATGGCAAGTGTATTGGAAAGCTGGCTTCAATAATGGAAGGCCAAGTAGCTACACATAAACCTGTACCAAACACAGAAAGTTACTTATTAGGTAAGATCTTTGAAATGGGATATTTAAAATTAGCGTGAAAATAATTAGTCACACCATTAAAGGTTTGCCTTGTCTGTAAAGCAAGTAAAGTAATTTTGTAAAAAATATTAATTTATTAAATATATTGTTTTTATTATTATACATGGAAATATATATTTCTGTGAAGAAAGGCAAGAAATATAACTTCTATATGAATTGTATGCACAGCTATGTACAATAGGCCAATCAATGTCTCAGAAATATATTTCTGTGAATTTATATTAACAAGAATATGTATTTCTGCAAAAAAAAAAGGCAAGTAATACAATTTATACAAATGATACAGGAATTAATTGCTTATACTGTACACTACAACAACTGACTACCTTCTGGTGAATTTATCATTCTGTTCAATATTTTGAGCATTGCTGTGATATTATTATTTCTGTCAATGTGCAAGAGTCTGTGATCCATTTTCACATACTTATTTCCCCAGACATATTTTGTCAGTTGTGTGAGTTTATTCGGCAGAGTGGTCATACTGAGAAGGCTGTTTGCTGCTATCAAGCAATGCTGGAATTTAATTTATTTGGTTCCCATGAAATTGATGATTCAACACCACATAATGAACAAGTAAGCTTTAGCTTTAATACTAAATGCAGAAAAGAGAAGTGGATACATGATCCAGTTCTCCTTAAGTACTGATGCATTTACTATTTCATATTTATTTGTAGATAGCATTTTTGGAAACATTCTGGGATAGTGAGGAGCCTAAATTTGGAGAAAAGGATGCTTCTGGGTGGAATTCCTGGATGCAGATGAAGCAAAAGGGAGGATGGAAGCAGGTCACCTCTCCAGAAGGTACAATTTCTTAAAACTGTTCATTAACAACAAGTTAAATAAGAGGAGGGTCAGAACCTTTTCTTGGATATCTCTGTCTTGCATGAATAATTATTGTTTAATCTGTGTCTTTAGAAACTGAAGAGTTTGATGAAGTTGAGGATGAGAAAATTCCAGAGACTTGCACTGGTAACTGGCAGGCTTGGTTGTATCTGGAGACTGCTCGGGAGCAGAAGCACTTCCTTCCATGGAAGCCTGATCCAAAAAAGGGTACTACTGAAGAAGATTGTGAAGATCCAGAGCGCATGGTAGTCTTTGACGATGTCAGTTCATTCCTTTTTAAGATCAAGTCTCAAGACCTTCAATTTAACCTTCTCTTAAGCTTCTTACGATTCCTTGGAGTAAATGTTCCTCTGCATGGATCATCAAATAACTATGAAGTTCACAAACATTCTTTGTATGCTCTAGAGAACACTAATCAGATATTTTGGAAATTAAAATATTTCCAGGATATTCCATTGAAATCAGTTTATCATAAATTTCAAAATCAACAGCTGTCAGTTGGAGTCATAAACAATTGTTCTCCACTAGAAGAGAGGCTGTCCCCTGACTCCCCAACCTTGCATACACCATCTAGAACTGTGGCTGCACTGAAAGAATTTGTTAGGAATGTGTTTGCACAGTCTTTGCCACTTTTCACAAACAACAACAGAACTGATCTTCTTCTTGTTTGGATTAGGTTTGAGTGCGAAAACTTTGAGATAAAAGATGATAAATTGAGAAAAAAGGCCCTCAAGCAGCATTGCAAAGAGGTGCGCAAGTTTACTAAATGCATCCTGAAGGAAGAGATTAACAGGAATAACCTTTTACTTTGGAGAGCTTATGCTGAGCTGGAATGGAAACTTGGGAATGCTGAGGAATCTAGACGAATTATAGGCACTGCTCTTGGAATGAGCGGGCAGGTGACATCAGGAGAGAAAGTCCACCTGGAAGCTATTCCAAATTTAGTGTACTCGTATGCAAACTTAGAGTTGGAGTTGGATTATAATGTTGAGATATTTATGGATACAACCAAAGAAACATCAATAAATAAAGACACTGGAGGAATTGATCGACTTCTTAAGGTGTTGACATGGCTAGGACAAGGGTCAGAAATCTTTTCACACTCTCAGATTGAATCTGATAAAACATCTGCCTTAGAGATCTTGAAGTCAAGGCGTGGTTTTCAAAACAAATGGGAAGGTAATGTGGAAGCGTACAAGAGTGTTTTCATTGGCTCAGATTCACTGACTCCAGTTGATTTGCAATACATTGTGGAGTATACATGTTGTTATGCATGGTTTCAGTACATCACTGTTGGTCTGAAGGCTGCAACGGTTGTTTTTGAAGAAACATTAACTGTTATAAAGACACACTGTGTCTCTAAATCTATGATGGAAACATACGTTGATGCAACAACTACCACTCTTTATAATCATTATGAAAACATTTTTTTACATTACATTAAGCTGGTAATTTATCACATTCTCAGAAATCCAACTCCATTGATGATGATTCGTAGTATATTACAGAGGGCGCTGTCAGCGTTTCCTCATAGTGCTGTTTTCTTGCAGTTGTTCATAGCTTTGGAGATGAAGTCGTTGATTATTGGGAGAGTGCGGAGGTATTTTGATTGTAGCCTACATTCATCAGTATCACCTGTGACCTGGCTGTACAGCATTAAAGCTGAGTTGATTAGAGAGGGAATTTTAGCCAAATCAAGGATGCAGGTGGCTACTCAAACAAACAGCTCTGGACCATCAAGTATGTTTCACAATTCTTACGAATTATTGTTACTGGCTCTTTAAATTTATATACAGGTCTCCCTCCAATTAATGACCACTTTGGGGCTGGGGTTTTTGTGGTACTGTATATAGCAGCTTTGGTCTTTAATTAGAAAAAATAATATCAAAAAAGAAAGATAGGTATTCATTTGGGGCTGTAGAAATGTGGTCTTTAATTGGAGGAGTCTTTAAGGAGACCTATATTCCTGTATTTTTTTAAAACCTTGTTTAAGTTTACTATTAAGTGGGATAGTTAACTGTTGCCACTTATTACCACTCTTGTGAGTTCATCATCTTTTCTTTCTGCAGTCGTCAGCACTGGAATAACGCACAGGATTCGATCCTTATTTGAGAAAGCTGTGGCAGAACGAGTAGCCAGACACTGTGTGCTTATATGGAGATTGTTCATTCAGTTTGAGGTGAAGATCAATTTATTATTTAACTGGTGGTAGCTACTGATTGTGTGCTGAACCATGGAGATCTTTTGGTCCGCTGGTTCAATTCAACCTGGCAGCAGCTTAAAGGGGAATATTTTTAGGGGATCACCTTCACCACTACACTCTTCCTTGGACTAGGCCTCCATACCATGGAAAAAACTTCCTGGATCTGCCCCCGTGTCTTGTTTATTTGGGTTTCTAGTGTGGTACAGCATGTGCTGTCTAATAAAAACATCCTAGTTGGCATATTATTTTGTAGAGTATTAATATTGTGTTTCTAGAATGACTAATTTATGAAACAAATTGTATTCATTAATGCAATTTTACTATATTCTGTATTCTAATAGGTATCTTATGGAGATATGAAGAGGGCCAAGTCGATATTCTACAGGGCTCTGCAGTACTGTCCTTGGGCTAAGGTAAAGGATCTTAAATTATCCACTATTCATATTATATGAAAGGCCAAAAAAACAATTCTTGTGTTGGCCACGTTTTGGGAAAATCAAAAAAATAGGTAGGTCAGTAGGAAAAAGTTTTTTTTTAACCGATGTGTTTATGCCTAAAAAGTAGAAAATACACAAAAATACAACAGCCACCATTTTAAAATCTATATTAAAGAGCAAAACAATCGCATAACACTGTTGCATGGCCTACTGTGGCAAGATCAGCCTTTTTAGCTCACTAAAAAAAAAAAGAAAAAAAACTAAAATGCCGATCCTCAATTTCAACAATTATGGGTCGGTTGGGCGTGGATAACACAATAATTTTTTTATTTGGTCTAATGTATAGGTAGAGTTTATCATATTTTCTGATTATAAATACTAAAAACCTTTATTGTTGATGATTGCTGATGATTGATTGATAATTGATTAATAATGATTGATTGATAATGATTGCTGGTCAGGATGATTGATTAATTGATAATTATGATTATAATTGATGATGATTGTTGATAATGATAATGAATAATGTTTGATAGATGATGATGAT